GCTTGGGGTGGTGAGGCTGGAGGTCAGAGGCGTCTGCCCCTGTGACACCTTGGTGGTTTTCTCTTGTTAGGAAACCAGATTGAGCGAGAAGAACAAGGGAGCCAAGAATGAAGAAGAGAAGGGAAAGGAAACACCTTCCAAAGAGCCGGCCCGGAAACGGGACACAAAGGTGGGGAAGGACTCTAAAAAGGAAGAAAGTGATCAAAAACCAGACCCCAAAGTTAAAGCTGAAGCTGAGACTAAGACCAAAGAGGAGAAGACTAGCAACGATAAAGTCCAGGCCATGGAGAAAAAGAAGGTTGGGAAGGACCAAAAGGAAGAAGAGAAGGGTTCAGAGCTGAAGAAGGACGCAAAGGAGGAAGAGAAGGGCTCCGTGTCGAAGGAGGATGAGGGGAAGAGTAAAAAGGAGGAAGCAAAGGGCTCAGCAGCGAAGAAGGAGATGGAGAAGGACAAAAAGGACGAAGAAAAGGCTTCAGCATTGAAGAGCACAGGGAAGGAGAAGAAGGAGGAAGAGAAGAATTCCGGAGCGAAGAACCAGGCAGGAAAAGACGTGGAAGGAGAAAATAAGCAAGAAAAAGATAAAAAAGAAGAGGAAAAAAGCTCAGCTTTGAAGAAATCCAAGGAGGACGAGAAGGAGAAACCGCAGCCGGATGCAGGGAAGGCAACATCCGAGGGCAGCGCCTCCAAGCCCCCCAGCTCCTCGGAGCAGGGCAAGGAGGACGAAGCCTCCAGCATTTTCGACGAGCTCATTGAGAAGGTGAAGAACAACGACGCGGCGGTGACCGAGGTGAACGTCAACAACTCGGACTGCATCACCAACGAGACCCTGGTGCGCTTCACCGAGGCGCTCGAGTTCAACACCGTGGTCAAGCTCTTCGCCTTGGCCAACACCCGCGCCGACGACCACGTGGCCTTCGCCATCGCCATCATGCTCAAGTCCAACAAGGTGTTGACCAGCATCAACCTGGACTCCAACCACATCACGGGTAAGGGCATCCTGGCCATTTTCCGGGCGCTGCTGCAGAACAGCACGCTGACGGAGCTGCGCTTCCACAACCAGCGGCACATCTGCGGTGGGAAGACGGAGATGGAGATCGCCAAGCTCCTGAAGGAGAACACCACGCTCCTCAAGCTGGGCTACCACTTTGAGCTGGCCGGACCACGCATGACGGTCACCAACCTGCTGAGCCGAAACATGGACAAACAGAGGCAGAAACGGCTCCAGGAGCAGAAACTAGCCCAGGAACGTGGGGAGAAGAAAGACCTCCTGGAGGTGCCCAAGCCTGGGGCTCTGCCTAAAGGCTCCCCCAAGCCATCCCCGCAGCCGTCCCCTAAGGCGTCCCCCAAAAGCTCTCCCAAGAAAGGGGGGGCACCGGCTGCACCGCCGCCACCGCCTCCGCCGCTCGCCCCACCGCTGAGCACTGAGAACCTGAGGAACTCGCTCTCGCCGGCCACGCAGAGGAAGCTGGGAGAGAGGGCGCTGCCGGTGCAGGAGAAGAACTCCCGGGACCAGCTCCTGGCTGCCATCCGCTCCAGCAACCTCAAACAGCTCCGGAAGGCAAGTGCAGGGCCACGGAGGGGGTGGTCCCTGGGCTCAGGTCGCTTGGGTGGGGGAGAGGTGAGGGATGTCCTCCTCCGGTGGGAGCATGGAGCGGGAGCAGCCGGGGTCCCAACCCCTGTGCAGAGCACATGGCAAGGGGTGGATCCATCCTTCTGCACCATCCCTGGCAGAGCAGACGGGGTCAGCAGGTCCATCCCTTGGCAGAGTATCCAACAGGGTCAGGTCCATCCCTTGGCAGAGCATCCAACAGGGACAGGTCCATCCCTTGGCAGAGCATCCAACAGGGGCAACAGATCCATCCCCTGGGAGAGCATCCAACAGGGGCAGGCCCATCCCTTGGGAGAGGATCCAGCAGGGGCAGGTCCGTCCCTTGGGCAAGCATCCAACAAGGTCATATCCATCCCTTGGGAGAGGATCCAACAAGGTCAGGTCCATCCTTTGGGAGAGGATCCAGCAGGGACAGGTCCATCCCTTGGACAAGCATCCAACAAGGTCATATCCATCCCTTGGGAGAGGATCCAACAAGATCAGGTCCATCCCTTGGCAGAGCATCCAACAGGGGCAACAGATCCATCCCCTGGGGGAGCATCCAACAGGGACAGGCCCATCCCCTGGGAGAGGATCCAGCAGGGACAGGTCCATCCCTTGGGCAAGCATCCAACAAGGTCATATCCATCCCTTGGGAGAGGATCCAACAAGGTCAGGTCCATCCCTTGGGAGAGGATCCAGCAGGGACAGGTCCATCCCTTGGGAGAGGATCCAACAAGGTCAGGTCCATCCCTTGGGCAAGCATCCAACAGGGTGAGGTCCATCCCTTGGCAGAGCATCCAACAAGATCAGGTCCATCCCTTGGCAGTGCATCCAACAGGGACAGGCCCATCCCTTGGGAGAGGATCCAGTAGGGTCAGATCCATCCCTTGGGCAAGCATCCAACAAGGTCAGGTCCATCCCTTGGGAGAGGATCCAACAGGGTCAGGCCCATCCCTTGACAAAGCCCCTGGGCTGTGGCAGATCCACCTCATCCCAGCAGTCAGGTTGGGCTCCAGGGTTTGGGACACACGGAAGAAGCCACCTTCAACCTTGGGGATGGAAATCCAGGATGCAGACAAGGGTCCCCCAAGCCACTCCAGCACCCTCTCCCAGTGCTGCCCCAGTAACGGGGGTGTCTCCTCCGGCAGGTGGAGGTGCCGAAGCTGCTGCAGTAGGGACGGGATGGCATTCCCCCCGCAGCCCGGCGTGCCCAGGACACTCACCTTTCCCGGGACTGTTTCCATGGCAAACCCTTTGGGACCCTGCAGTGACCAAGCCGAGGAGCAGCGTTCCCTCTGGGATGGACACGGAAGGGCCACCTTCTATTTATTGTCCTTAGGGTTGTGAAGCCTTCAAGCTCTTCCCTTTGCCAGCACCGTGTCCCGCTCCGTGCCGGCGACACGGGAGGGATCTGCAGGGCTGGCCCTCATGGGAAGCTCCTCTTGGAGCACCCCAAAGGGATGCTCCAGCCTGGGTGAGTGGAGGTTCCCCCCCCTTTATGGAGGAGCAGGGAACAACCAAACCATCACCAGCACTTGTGTCCCCGTGATGGCTCCGGGTGGCCGGGGTGCAGGCACCGTGGTGGGTGCTGGCTTGTGGGGTGCTGGGTGGACCCCAGGAGGGAGCAGGAGGAGGAGGTTGAGGTTTGAGGGGGTTTTCCCCCTTTCTTCTTCCCGATGAAGGGAGCAGATCTCCACCATGAGGGTGCTGGGACGCTGGAATGGGTTGAGCGGAGGAGCTGTGGCTGCCCCATCCCTGGCAGTGCTCAAGGCCAGGTTGGACACAGGAGCGGGACGGGTCCCCTGCCCCGGTCTCCAAGGTCCCTCCCATCCCAAACCATTCCATGATTCCAGGACCTTCTCCACACCACACCTGCCCCACAGGAGCTGCTGGTCCCCAGAGCACCCCCTGAGGATGGGCAGCTCCAGCCTGGGGGGGGTTTTGGGGTCCCGGTGTGAAGCTTCGCTGCGCTCTGTAACCACGGCACCAGCAATAAAGCTCACCCAACGCTACCTCCACCACGGCACCCACAGCGCCACTGGGGCACCCCAAAACCCGGGTCACCCATAACGGGGTGTCCTGAAGCCGTGTGGGCACCCCAAAACCCAGGTCACCTATAAGGGGGTGTCCTGAAGCCATGTGGGCACCCCAAAACCCGGGTCACCCATAATGGGGTGCCCTGGAGCCACATGGACCTGGGGTCACCCATAACGGGGTGCCCTGGAGCCACATGGACCTGGGGTCACCCATAACGGGGTGTCCTGGAGCCACATAGACCTGGGGTCACCCATAACGGGGTGCCCTGGAGCCACATGGACCTGGGGTCACCCATAACGGGGTGCCCTGGAGCCACATGGACCTGGGGTCACCCCATAACGGGGTGCCCTGGAGCCACATGGACCTGGGGTCACCCATAACCGTGTGCCCTGGAGCCATGTGGGTACCCCAAAACCCGGGTCACCCAAAGTGGGGTGCCCTGGAGCCACATGGACATGGGGTCACCCAAAGTGGGGTGCCCTGGAGCCACATGGACCTGGGGTCACCCATAACGGGATGCCCTGGAGCCACATGGACCTGGGGTCACCCCATAACCGTCTGACCTGGAGCCATGTGGGCACCCCAAAACCCGGGTCACCCAAAGTGGGGTGCCCTGGAGCCACATGGACCTGGGGTCACCCCATAACTGTGTGCCCTGGAGCCATGTGGGCACCCCAAAACCCGGTCACCCTCAACCAGGCTCTGGGGACCACCCTGGGGTCACCCCCAGTTGGATTCGGGGTGCATGGAGGGAGGGTCCCCCCACTTCGCTTCTGCCCCGTTCCATCCCCCCCTCACCACCGGTGACCCCCAGCTCGGGGGCACCCCCAAACCGGGAACCGGGCCGGGAGGGGGTTGTTGGATTCCGGTAGGGGGCGCTATGGGAGCCGTACCGGAGCGCACGTTTAGGGGGCGGGGCCAGAAGGGGGCGCTAGGGGAGCCGTACCGGAGCGCGCGTAGGCGGCGGGGCCGGCAGGGGGCGCTATAATAGCCGTACCGGAGCGCGCGTGTGAACGGCGGGGCCGGCAGGGGGGGCTAAGCCGTACCGGAGCGTGCACGTGTGCGCGGCGGGACCGCCAGGGGGCGCTATAATAGCCGTACCGGAGCGCGCACGTGCGCGCGGCGGGGCCGGCAGGGGGCGCTATAATAGCCATACCGGAGCGCGCACGTGTGAACGGCGGGGCCGGCAGGGGGCGCTATAATACCCGTACCGGAGCGCGCACGTGTGCGCGGCGGGGCCGGCAGGGGGCGCGCAGGCGCCGGTCCCGCTCCTCCCGGGCCCCGCACCGTTCGGTCGGGCTCGGTACGGCGGGGACGGCGCAGGACAAAAGGCTCGGAGGGGCGATGGGCGGCGGGGCGGCGCCATGAGGAGGAGGCGGCGGGGAGCATGGCGGCGGGCGGCGGCGGCGGCGGCGGGGCGCGGCGGGGGCTGCTGAAGCGGAAGCCGAACTTCACGCTGCAGGAGATCGACATCCTCATGAGCGAGGTGCTCAAGTACGAGCAGCTCCTGTTCGGCGCCGCCGCCAGCACCGTGAACGCCTACGAGAAGCAGAAGATCTGGTGGCGCATCACCAACAAGATCAACGCCGCCGGCCGCAACCAGCGCGACATCGGCGAGGTCAAGAACCGCTGGCGAGGGCTGCGCCGCCGAGCCAATGACAAGATCACCCGGCACCGGCAGGAGCGGCAGGGACCGGCCCCCAGGGCCCTCCCCAGGCCCGGCACCGGATCCGGGCCAGGCCCCCCGGAGCTCGGCCCCGGCCCCGCGTCTGGTTGGGGACAGAGAGGAGGCACCGGCATCGAGGCGCCGGTCCTGAGCGCAGAGGTGGTACCGCACGGTGGGTGCGGGAGGACCGGGGCATGGGGGAGCAGGAGGGGGATGTGGGGGCTGGAGCATGGATGCAGGGGAGCAGGACAGGGGCAGGGATGCGGGGGGACTGAGGCTGGGCACGGGCACTGGGAGCAGGATGGGCACGGGGAGGGACAGCAGCAGGGACACACGGGATGAGTTCGTGGGGGGACACGGGGGCACTGGGAGAGGTGGGAGGAGAGGCTGGGACAGGGACACCGGAGATCAGGACCAGGACAGGGACACTGGGACCATGATGTGGGAGACCAGGGCATGGATACAGGGGACTGAGACAGGGACACGGGGGCACTAGGGCAGGTGAGTGCAGGGACAGGGACATGGGGGACAGAGACCAGGATGTGGGGGGACCAGGACACGGATACAGGAGAGGGACATAGGGGAGTGGGACAGGAGCGTGGAGGGACAGAGACACAGGAGAAGAGCAGGACCAGCGCATGGAGGGGCATGGACCGGGATGCAGGGGAATCAGGAGCACCTCAAGTGCGCTGGGATCAGGACATGGGGGCCCAGGGCAGGTGGATGGAGGGACTGGGGCAGGGACAGGGACATGGAGGACTGGGATAGGGATGCGGAGGGGAAGAGGGATGTGGGGGGGTTATAGTGGGGACGTGGGTGACAGGGGCATGGGAGGATTGGGACAGGGACATAGAGAGAGGGAGAGCAACAGGACTGAGACCAGGACAGGAGGATGCCGGGATCCAGCCAGGGACATGGGGTCCTGAAACCAGGGCAGGGCAAGGAGCATGGAAACAGGGTCAGGGACATGGGGGGACCTGAGAACAAGGGGACAGCAGGAAGGGACTGGGACCAGGACAGGGGTGGGGATACCAGGGCTGGGATAGGGGCAGGGGGGGACATGGACCAGGATGGGGACAAGGGACAGCGGCACTGGGAGCAGAATAGGAGGATACTGGGACAGGACAGGGATGTGGGTGGCTATGATTAGGAGAAGGACAGGGGTGAGGGGGTACCAGGACCTGGACAGGGATAAGAGGGGTCTGGGAAGAGGACAAGGACGTGGGGTTACTGCGGTTTGGACAGGGACAAGGGACATGAGACATGGGAGAGCAGGACAGCGATGTGGGGTTAGTGGGGTTAGGAAGGGATGTGTGGGACCAAGGCAGGGACAAGGGGGGACTGGGAGCCCGCAGGGACACAGGGCACCGCATTCAGGACAGGGATACGGGAGTTCGGGACCAGGAGAGGGACAAGGTACCCGGGATGGGGCTGGACCACGGGGAGGGATGCGGAGCTGTGCGTGGGGGGGGTGACCAGGACCGCGCACAGGAGAGGGGATGCGGGACACGGGGGTGGCGGAAGCAGCGGCAGGAGGGGGCCGGGGTCCCACCGGCTGCCCCGCGTCCATCCCGCAGGCCTCAAGGAGGAGGCGGTGAAGGAGGAGCCGGTGGAGGTGAAGCCGGAGCCCTTCCAGAGCCCGGCTCCCGACGGCGCTCCCGGCCCCGGGGCGGCCACGGAGCGAAGCGAGGGCTGGAACCGGACCCCCCCTCCTCTGCCCGCGGGGCCCGAACTGTGCCTGGGGGGGGGTGCGCAGGAGCCGCTGGGCTCCGCTTTCCCCGGGGTCCTCTTCCAGCAAGAAGCGGAGCCGCTCCCGGAGCGCGGAACCGGCGGTGCCGCTACCACGGGGCTAGGGGAGGGGAGCCCCGGCTGCGCGCAGCCTTGCGCGGGGGATGCGCGGGGGGCGCAGGCGCAGGAGCGGTTGGTGCAGGAGGTGCGCGCTTTCCGCAGGGAGTTCGCCGAGAGCTGCCGGGAAACCACGGCCCTGCTGCGGGCCATGGCCCAGGCGCTGGGAGCGCTCAGCCGCAGCCTGGCCCAGATCCGCGATCTCTACCTCCGGGAGCAGGGGGCCCCCCCATAACCCCCCCCTATACCCCCCCCCCAGCTGGCTGTGGGGTCCGGACTCCCCCCCCTTCCCCTCCTCTGGCTGCTCCGAGGCTTTATTTTTATGGGGTTTTCCCACCCGTTCAATAAATCCCGAGGTGCCCCCGCGCTCCATGATGAGGGGCTCCGGGGATGCTGGGAGTGATGGAGATGGGAGGTGTTTGAGCCAATGGGTTTGGTGGTGGGGAATGGAGGTGGTGGATGGACCCACACACACACACAGAGCTCACAGTGATGGGGTACAGGGGGTGAATCGCACCCCCCCACCCCAAAACAGGGTGGATGGAGGAATCATCCCTGCACCCACAGCCCCATCCCAAGGCTGAGTCTGCTGCTTCCTGACCCAATGGAACCCCAGACTGGTTTGGGTTGAAGGGACCATAAAGCTCACCCAGTTCCAATGTAGGCAGGGACCCCTTCCACTGGAGCAGCTTGCTCCAAGCCCCTGTGTCCAACCTGGCCCTCATCCCAGCGGCCGGGTTCATGGGAATTGCCCATCCCAATGGATGTTGGGGGGCTCCAGGAGCAGAACGGATGGGGGGGGAAAGCCGCTATCCCCATGTTAGAGCTCCCCATAGGGACCCATGGAGGCGACACCAGTCTATGGGGCACAAGTGGTTTAATTCCAACCCCAGGCCCGGATCCGGGCGCGCAGGGTGCAGCAGTGCACGGCCCTCGGGGGGCCCCCGGCCACCCCCCCACACACACACCATGGGTGCCCGGAGCTGTTGGCACCCAAGGCCGGGGGGGGGGGGGCACCCACAAAGGGCCCAGTGTATGGGACAAGAGCTGCCCTGTGCTGCCGGCTCCGGGTCACCACCACAAAGGGCTTCATGCAGCCATGGCCCGGGGCCCCCCAACCCTGCTGGAGGAGGGTGCTGGGGTGCCCATGGGTGCTCAGGCTCCGGGGTAGCTGGGCTGTGCTGGCACATAGGGTGGAGGCGCTGTGGGGGGAGCAGGGTGGGTGTCACCCCATGCGAGGCCACTGGGACCCCATGGGGAATAGGGGGGTGCAGGGGGTTATCAAGGGGTGTCCCTGGTGCTCACCTGTGGGGTTGTAAACGGGGGGTCCAGAGGGGTACAGCGGGTACTGGGCAGCAGGGCCGGTCGGGGGGTACACGGGCATGGGGGTGAAGCCGGGCGGGGGGGGCACGGGGCCAGCTTTGGGGTCCATAGGGAACGGTGCTGGGGCCACTGGGGGGGGGTAGCTGGAGAGTGGGATCTCCGGGCCTATGGGAGACACGGGACGGGGGGGGGGGGCTGCAGCATCCCGGGATGGGGACAGGGACGTGGCCCCACAGCGCCCATATCCCACCCCCTGCATGCCTGTGCTCCCCCCTGCACCCCGCATCCCACCCCCTGCATCCCTGTGCTCCCCCCTGCACCCCGCATCCCACCCCCTGCATCCCTGTGCTCCCCTCTTCACCCCGCATCCCACCCCCTGCATCCCTGTGCTCCCCCCCTGCACCCCGCATCCCACCCCCTGCATCCCTGTGCTCCCCCCTGCACCCTGCATCCCACACCCTTCACCCCACATCCCACCCCTGCATCCCTGTGCTCCCCCCTGCACCCCGCATCCCACACCCTTCACCCCACATCCCACCCCCTGCATCCATGTGCTCCCCCCTTCACCCTGCATCCCACCCCCTGCACCCCATATCCCACCCCCTGCATCACTGTGCTCCCCCCTGCACCCCGCATCCCACACCCTTCACCCCGCATCCCACCCCCTGCACCCCATATCCCACCCTCCCCCCCCCGCATCCCTGTGCTCCCCCCCGCACCCACATCCCACCCCCCGCAACCCCTTCACCTCGCACCTCCAGGATCCCCCCATCCCATCCCATCCCCCCCATCCCATCCCCCCGCACCCCGCTTTGCCGCCCCCCCGCACCCTGCAGCGGGGTGCGCAGCCGCTGCCGCCGCTGGTACAGGTAGCAGCAGGAGCACAGGAAGCAGCACACGATGGTCGTGATGATCGCGATGAACAGGACCACGGCCGAGGCGATGCCCGCGATCGTCTTGGGGCTGCGGGCACCGGGGACAGGCGCTGGGAGCGGGCACCTGGAGCCGGACCCCCCCCCCCCCCGCACCCAGGGTACCCCCCCAGGGTGCCCCCACACAAACACAGACCCCCCCCCCAGTCACACCAGTGCCCGCAGCAACTGGGACCAGCGCAGGCAGGGTCCTGCTCCGTCCTTGGAGCGCCTGCCTGGGGGTGGAGGGACAGGGACGGCCAGACCGGTACCAGTGACCAGCGCCAGTGCCCAGCACCCAGTGTCAGTGCCCAGCACCCAGTGCCCAGCACCCAGTGTTAGTGACCAGCACCCAGTGCCCAGCACCCAGTATCAGTGACCAGCACCCAGTATCAGTGACCAGTGCCCAGCACCCAGTGTCAGTGACCAGCACCAGCACTGAGCACCCAGTGCCCAGCACCCAGTGCCCAGCACCCAGAGTCAGTGACCATCACCCATGCTCCAGTGCCCACAGTGCCCACACCCAACCCCACCCACACCCACACACCCAACCCACACCCAACATGCCCAGCACCCAGTGTCAGTGCTCACCACCCAGTGTCAGTCCCAGATCAGAACCAGTGCCCAGCACCCACCCCACACCCAACAGTGCCCAGCACCCAGTGTCAGTGCCCAGCACCCAGTGCCCAGCACCCAGTGTCAGTGCCCAGCACCCAGTGCCCAGCACCCAGTGTCAGTGCCCAGCACCCAGTATCAGTGCCCAGCACCCAGTATCAGTGCCCAGCACCCACATGACCAGTGCCCACACCCACCCACACCCACCCACACCCAACAACCACACCCACCCCACCCAACCCACACCCACAGTGCCCAGCACCAGTACCCGGCACCCAGCGCCCAGCACCCAGTGCCCAGTGTCAGTTCCCAGCACCAGTACCCAGCATCCAGTGCCAGTGACCAGCACCCATGCTCCAGTGCCCCATGCCCAGCACCCAGTGTCAGTGCTCACCACCCAGTGTCAGTAGTCAGAACCAGTGCCCAGCACCCAGTGACCAGCACCCAGTGCCCAGTGTCAGTTCCCAGCACCAGTACCCAGCACCCAGTGTCAGTGCTCACCACCCAGTGTCAGTAGTCAGAACCAGTGCCCAGCACCCAGTAACACCCAGCATCCAACGCCTAAGGCCCAATAACCCAAAGGCATGCACCCAGTAGCAGCGTCCAGCACCCAGTCCCAGTGCCCTGCATCCAGCATCCCATGCCCCTTCCCTGACCCCAAAGGCAAGCACCCAGCACCCATTGCTGGAACCCATCACCCATTATCCCTGAAGCCCAGCACCCATTGCTGGAACCCATCACCCATTATCCCTGAAGCCCAGCACCCATCGCTGGAACCCATCACCCATTATCCCTGAAGCCCAGCACCCATCGCTGGAACCCAGCACCCATTGCTGGAACCCATCACCCATTATCCCTGAAGCCCAGCACCCATCGCTGGAACCCATCACCCATTATCCCTGAAGCCCAGCACCCATCGCTGGAACCCAGCACCCATTGCTGGAACCCATCACCCATTATCCCTGAAGCCCAGCACCCATCGCTGGAACCCATCACCCATTATCCCTGAAGCCCAGCACCCATCGCTGGAACCCAGCACCCATTGCTGGAACCCATCACCCATTATCCCTGAAGCCCAGCACCCATCGCTGGAACCCATCACCCATTATCCCTGAAGCCCAGCACCCATCGCTGGAACCCAGCACCCATTGCTGGAACCCATCACCCATTATCCCTGAAGCCCAGCACCCATCGCTGGAACCCATCACCCATTATCCCTGAAGCCCAGCACCCATCGCTGGAACCCATCACCCATTATCCCTGATCTGGTGGCACCTGAAGACGATGCAGTGGCGCTGCTGCCGCTCGGTGATGAGGCGCTGGGGGTCCCGGCAGCAGAACCGCTGCTGGCAGGACCCGCAGCAGAAGCTCAGGAACTGGCACTCGAAGCCGGGGTGCCAGGACCCGTTCCTGTCCACGTACCACAGGCAGTCCTCATCCGCCGCCGCTGCGCACAGCACCGTCACCGGGGCCGCGGCACCCCCAGAGCCTGCTCCATCATCCCCATGGACCCCATAGCCTGCTCCATCCATCCCCATGGACCCCATAGCCTGCTCCATCCATCCCCATGGACCCCCAGAGCCTGCTCCATCCATCCCCATGGACCCCATAGCCTGCTCCATCCATCCCCATGGGCCCCCATAGCCTGCTCCATCCATCCCCATGGACCCCCATAGCCTGCTCCATCATCCCCATGGACCCCCATAGCCTGCTCCATCCATCCCCATGGACCCCCATAGCCTGCTCCATCCATCCCCATGGACCCCCATAGCCTGCTCCATCCATCCCCATGGACCCCCATAGCCTGCTCCATCCATCCCCATGGACCCCATAGCCTGCTCCATCATCCCCATGGACCCCCATAGCCTGCTCCATCCATCCCCATGGACCCCATAGCCTGCTCCATCCATCCCCATGGACCCCCATAGCCTGCTCCATCCATCCCCATGGACCCCATAGCCTGCTCCATCATCCCCATGGACCCCATAGCCTGCTCCATCATCCCCATGGACCCCCATAGCCTGCTCCATCCATCCCCATGGACCCCCATAGCCTGCTCCATCCATCCCCATGGACCTACATATCCTGCTCCATCCTGCTGCTATGTAACCCCCATACCCCGCTCCATCCCACCCCACGTCCTCCTGGATCCTGCCCCATCCCAACCCACCTCTTCCCCTGTACCCTGCTCTATTCTGCCCCATGGGTCCTGGTACCCCACTGCAGCCTGCCCCATTACCCCCCATACCTTGCCCCTGTGTTCCCCCACAGAATGCTCCATCCCAGCCCACCTCTTCCCCTGTACCCTGCTCTATCCTGCCCCATGGGTCCTGGTACCCCCCTGCAGCCTGCCCCATATCCCCCCATACCTTGTCCCTGTGTTCCCCCATAGCCTGCCCCATCCTATCCCGCACCGTTGCGGACCCCGTTGGGTGCCCCCCCCCCCTCCCGCCCCAGCTCCGGTTCTATTTGTGGCCGGAGCCATTTGCGCTCCCGAAATAGCCCCGGGACGAGGCCCGGAGGAAACCACGGGGCTGGGGCTGAGCCCCTCGGGACCGCGCTCGCTCCCGGCCCCGCGGGGCCTCCTCCGGGCTTCCCCGAACGCAAAACGGGACCAAGGAGGGGGGGAACTGAGGCAGGGCCCGGCCGGACCCGGATCCCCCGGGAGTCACCGCGGATCCCGGCCCCGTGCTCCCGGGACACCGCGGGGGGCAGCGCGCGTTGGTGCGGGCCCCCCCCCCTCCCCCCCCCCCCCCCATGCAAATCCCAGTCAAAGCCGGTGGCACCGGGTCCCGTCCCCCCCCACCCCGCACCGGTGCTCCCTTACCCAGCGAGGCGGCCACGGCCACCAGCACGGTCCCGGCCAGGGGCCACGCGGTGCCGGGGCCACCGGGACCCATCCCGGGGCCGCTGCTGAGCGCTGCCCGCGGGCGGTGGGAGCCGGAGCCAGGACCGGGGCCGGAGCCGGAGCCGGGGCCGGGACTGGGGCCGCTCCCGGTGCCGCGCAGGTCCGCAGTGACGCCGCAGCCCCGAGCTCGGTCGCTGCCCGGTGCCCCCCCGCGGCGGCGCCTCCCGCAGCAGCCACCGGCACCGGCCCCCGCCGAGGGGGAGAAACGGGACCCGCGAGCAGGGCCGAGCAGCCCCAACACCGCACCCCCCATCCCTGCATCCCCATCACAGCACCCCCATCCTGCATCCCCATCCCTGCACCCCCATCACAGCACCCACATCCCCGCATCCCCATCCCCATCACAGCACCCCCATCACAGCACCCCCATTCCCGCATCCCCACACCCCACCCCCATCCCCGCACCCCCATCCCAGCACCCCCATCACAGCACCCCCATCCCAGCACTCCCATCCCAGCACCCCCATCACAGCACCCCCATCCCCGCATCCTCATCCCCGCACCCCCATTCCCGCATCCCCCATCCCCGCATCCCCATCACAGCACCCCCATTCCCGCATTCCCCATCCCCGCACCCCCATCACCACACCCCATCCCTGCACCCCCATCCACACACTTGCATCCCCTATCCCTGCATCCCCATCCCAGTACCCGCCATCCCACACCCCTGTGCCAGCACTGTCATCCCATTACCTCCATCCCAGCATCCCCACCCCACACTCCCATCCCATTACCCCAATCCCCATACTCCCATCCTCTCATCCCCTAGCCCCGCATCCCCATCCCAGCACCCTTCATCCTGCACCCCCTTCCCAGCACTGTCACCCCATTACCCCCATCCCTGCACCCCCATCCCAGCCATGCCAAGGCCTTACTGGGTGCCAGAGGGCACGGCCAGACTTGGGGACCCCCCTATCATGGGAATCACCCCAGAACACAGCCAGACCCCAAACCTGCACCCCCCCATCCTGTCAATGCCACTGCAGGGGACAGGGACCCCCCAGGGGCCAGTGCTGGGGACCCACTGGAGCACCCCAACATGCACCTTTATTAGAGACCAGAGCCCCAAATCCAGCGCCGCGGTGACACTGGGGGCACAGTGACAATGAGGGGATGGGGGGGGGGGCAGGGGGCCAGCCCCAGCCCCATGCACCCCAGAGGTGCCCATGTCCCATATCCCTGTCCCCATTGTCCCTGGGCCAGCCAGGCTGGGGGTGTCCCAGGTTGGGGTGTCCCATAGTTGGGGTGTCCCCATCACACTTGTGTCACGATCTCGCCGTTCTCAGGCACATAGACCTGCACGGACACACCATCGGGGGAGCGCCGCAGGACAGGGACTGGGGGGGGACCCTGTGTGGGAGAAGGCACCCATGGGTGCTGGCACCCATCCTGCACCACGGCAGCACCATGGGGTGATGGGGTTGGGAGCTGCATGCACCCATCCTGGTGGGACCCCTGGGTGCTGCTGGGGAGGGAGGCAGCACCCCAAGTGTCAGCAGGGCACCCCCCCTCGGCCAGGGGTACCCCAAGTGTTGCCCCAGGGACCCACATGGGAACCTGGGTCCTGTTCGTGGGGCCCTGGTGTGAGCAGAGGGACTCATGTGGGACCCCAGTTCTTCCCCTGTGATCTCCGCAGGACCCCAATCCTCCCCCCTGGGACCCCTTTAGGGCCTGATCCTGTCCCACAGGACCGTCACCAGGGAACTGGAGGAATCCCAAGGACCTCAGAGCCAGGTAGGACCCCAGAGGGACCCATCCTGCCTATAGGAGCTTGAAGAACCTCAGTCCCATCCCCAAAACCCTCCCAAAACCCAGGCACCTTTATGGGATTCCAGCTCTGCCCCAAGGACCTTAACGGGACCCCCAGGACCCCACCAGCGCCTCTTGCACCCCATTCCCCCCCATAACGGCAACGGCTCCATCAGGGCATCACCCCCGGGGGGGGTCCCCGTTCCCTACCTGTGCCCGCGGCAGCAGCGCCCGGTTCACGGGCCCGTCCCTGGCGCTGCCGGTGCGGGGGCCCCGGATCGCTCCCTGCCGGTCGAGGGAGTGGGGCCGAGCCCCCCGCAGCCGGGCCCGTTGGTGCCAGGATTTGAGCTCCTCGGTGACCGTGGCCTTGGAGAGCCCGCGGGGGGCCCCGTAGTCCTTGAGCGAGGGGGTGCGCACGATGCGGCTGTGCGAGGGCACCAGGCGCTGGTAGCGCAGCGGGGCCAGGTCCTGCTCGTACAGCACCAGCGCCGGCAGCAGCCGCTGCGGTCCCCGAGGGATGTAACCGGGTTCGGGAAGGGGCGGAGGCACCGGGACCTCGGGGCTGCTGCTGCCCGGGGATGTGAGGCTGGACAGGTCCGAGATGCTGTCGTCGGAGCCGGAGCGGTGCGCGGGGCCCGGCGGCGGGGGCAGGCAGGATGCGGGCACCGTCACCGTGTAGTACGTGGGGCGCCGGCGGGGGACGGAGCTGCGGCCCCGAGGCTCCGATGGTCGGGAGCCCTCGACCCTGCGGGCAGCGGCGTGAGGGGGGGACCCGGCCCGTGCGGGAGGCTCCAGCCTCCTCCCCATGGGGTTATCCCCAGTAACTCCTCCCTATGTGCTCAGCTCCATCATCTCCCTAGAGTCATCTTCATCCTCCTCCCCATGGGGTTATCCTCAGTAACTCCTCCCTATGTGCTCAGCTCCATCATCTCCCTGTAGGGTTATCTCCAACCTCCTCCCCATGGGGTTGTCAATGACCTCCTCCCCATGGGGTTGTCAACGACCTCCTCCCCATGGGGTTATTCCAGCCTCCTCCCCATGGGGTTAACCCCAGTAACTCCTCCCTATGTGTTCAGCTCCATCATCTCCCTAGGGTTATCTCCAACCTCCTCCCCATGGGGTTATCCCCAACCTCTTCCCTATGTGTTCAGCTCCATCATCTCCCTGGGGTTATCCCCAACCTCCTCCCTATGGGGTTATCCCCAATAACTTCTCCCTCTATGTTCAGCTCCATCATCTCCCTAGCGTTATCTCCAACCTCATCTCCATGGGGTTATCCCATTCTCTTCCCCATCCCTCCCTGTCTCAAGCTCCATCACCTCTATAAAGTTACCTTCATTCTCCTCCCTGTAGGGTTATCTCCAACCTCCTCCCCATGGGGTTAGCTGCATCTTCCCCCTGTTATCTCATCATCCTCCCACTGGATTTAGCTCCATCATCTCTAAAGGGTGTCTTCAACCTCCTCCCTATAGGGTCAGCAATCTTCCCCTTGGTGTCAGTTCTAAGTTCCTCCCAATGGGGTTGACTGCATCATCTCCATAGGGTTAGCTCCATCTTCCTCCCTACTGATTTACATCCATCCTCCCCCTGGAATCATCTCCAACCTCCTCCCCATGGATTTATATCCATGTCCCTATAAGGGTTATCTTCAACCTCCTCCATGGGTTCATCTTCATCAGCCCATGGGGTTATCCCATCCTCCATCCCCCTTGCATCGCCCCTTGTCCCCCTCCCCACACACAGGCCATACCTCAGGGACTGGGACTGTCCCCGGCGTCCCACTGGCTCCGGGCTGCTGGGAGCACTGGATCCCGCCTGCCGGCACAGCACCAGGGTCCGGATGGGAACGTAGCGGTAGGGAGGGACATCCCCGGGCCTGCCCGCTGCTGGGGACACCGGGTCAGGGCTGCTGGGGACCGGTGGGGACCCAGGGTAGCACCGGGAGCTCCGTGTTCCCCCATCCCCGGCATCGACACTGGGAGCTTTGGCCTTCTCATGGGCTCTGTCGGGGATGGGGGGCTCCGATGGGGACCCCGATCCCTCCTCCTCCTCCTCATCCTCCTCCTCGCTGGGCTCCTCAGGGTCCCGCTGTGAGGTGCTGGTTCCCAGTGTCCGGGTCTCCTCTGTGCGAGAGATGGAGCATTGGGATGGAGGGGACACACTGGGGTCCCCCCCCGGCCCCGCAGCCCCTCACCCTCCTCCAGCAGGACGGTGTCGGACAAGGAGCTGTCATCGGAGGCGCTGGGCTCTGTGGGACGGGCGCCGTGAGAGCGGTGCCGGTGCCGGTGCTGGTGCTCCCACGGCTCCCGGCACCACCCGGTGCAGCCCCAGGGGCCTCCGCTCCCCGGCTCCCACGGCCTCGTGTCCCGACACGCTCCGGGACGTGGCGGCACCGGCCCGGCCGGCTCTGCCGAGCCCCATGGGCAGCTCCCGGCCTGCCCGGCTGCGCAGGAGGAGCGGGGCTGGGCAGGGCCGGGGGCACCCCGAGGGAAGGAGGCGGCAGCACCGTGGTCCTGGCTCTGGGATGCAGGGATGGGGAAAGCACAGGGAGGGAAAGGGGGAACCCACCCCGATGGATGCCACTGGGATGGGGATGTCGGGGAGGGGGGGTTGGGGGCAGTGATGGGGTGCAAAGACCGAGGAGGGAGTTTTAGGGTTCATTCGTGGGGATGCAATGAGCAGGGATGAAGTTTTGGGGTGCATTCAAGTGGGTGAAGTCATGGGGATGGCGTATGGGGGTGCAGGCAGTGGTAATGAAGTGTTGGGATGTGCTTGTAAGAGAATACATTGGGGTGCATGCAGCATGGATGGCATTTTGGGGGGTATCCGGAGGGGTGCATTCAGCAGGGATAAGGAACTGGGTTACATTCCCCATGTCAGGGTGCTCTCTGGGGTGTACATTCACTGGTGATAATGTACTGGGATGCACCCTGGAGGGGTGCTTTCATCATGGGATGGGGAATTGGGGTATGTTCCCCAGGGATGGCATTTTGGGGACATTTAGGAGGGTGAACATCCATCCATCCATCCATCCATCATCCAATCATCTAATATCCATCCATCCATACATCCTCCATCCATCCATCCATCCATCCATCCATCCATACATCCTCCATCCATCCATCCATCCATCCATCCATCCATACATCCTCCATCCATCCATCCATCCATCCATCATCCATCATCCATCCATCCATCCATCATCCATCCATCCTCCATCCATCCATCCTTCATCCACCCATCCAATATCCATCAATTCACCCACCCATCCAGCAATGGGGAACTGGGGTGCATACCCCAAGGATTGTTATATGGGGGTGACCTCCCCATGGACACTTCACCCCCCCCCCAGGACAGGGCCATGGAGGAGCTCACCCTGGGTACCAGCCCGGGCAGAGAGGAGGCGCCGTTGGTTGAGGACGCTCTGCAGGTCCCGCAGCTTCTGCTCCTCCAGCACGGCCGCGCTCTGCCGGCGCCGCCGCAGCCTCCTGCCGATGTTCTCCTCGCGGCAGAGGCGCCGCGCGGCGCGGGCGATCTGCAGCTGCAGCGCCAGGTCCCGCTCCAGCGCGCTCAGAGGGTCCTGGGGATGGGATGTGCTCGGAGCCAGCCCAAAGGCACCCATGGGGGAGGCTTGGTGAGAGCAGGGGGGATGCTCTCCCATGGGAGATCCTGCCCAGCCCATCCCATCCTGCCCATCCTACCCCATGTCATCCTACCCTTCCCATCCCATCCTTCCCATCCAACCCTATGTTATCCTACCCTTCCCATCCCAACCCATCACACCCCATCTTTCCCACCCCATCCCATCCTTCCCATCCTACCCCATGTCATCCTACCCTTCCCATCCCAACCCATCACACCCCATCTTTCCCATCCCAACACATCCCATCCTTCCCATCCTACCCCATGTCATCCCACCCTTCCCATCTCAACCCATCACACCCCATCCTTCCCATCCCAACACATCCCATCCTTCCCATCCTACCCCATGTCATCCTACCCTTCCCATCCCAACCCATCACACCCCATCTTTCCCATCCCATCCCATCCTTCCCATCCTACCCCATGTCATCCCACCCTTCCCATCCCAACCCATCACACCCCATCCTTCCCATCCCAACACATCCCATCCTTCCCATCCTACCCCATGTCATCCTACCCTTCCCATCCCAACCCATCACACCCCATCTTTCCCATCCCATCCCATCCTTCCCATCCTACCCCATGCCATCCTACCCTTCCCATCCCAACCCATCACACCCCATCCTTCCCATCCTACCCCATGTCATCCCACCCTTCCCGTCACAACCCACCCCATTCAAATCCACTGTTCCCATCCCAACTCATCCCATCTTTCCCATCTCATCCTATGTTTCCCATCCCACAGCATCCCATCTTTTCCAGCTCACCCCACACCATCCCATCTCATCCTTCCTATTTCCCATCCCTGGCAGTGCTCAAGGCCAGGTTGGACACAGGGGCTTGGAGCAAGCTGCTCCAGTGGAAGGGGTCCCTGCCCATGGCAGGGGTTGGAGCTGGAGGAGCTTTAAGGTCCCTTCCAACCCAAACCACCCCATGATTCCATGTATGATGACCTCCAGGATGGGATGGGGCCGTGTCCCCTGCCCCACTGCACCCAGGCAGCCCCTCACCGCCCCACGCAGGACGAGGGTCTCATCCAGCTTGAAGGCAGCCCCGATCCTGCGCCGGACCTTGGGTGGCTTCTCCCCAGCTCTCAATGGGTACTCCCGGGGCAGCGTCCCCGTCAGCTCCTAGGGACAGGGGACCCTGAGCTGCTGCTGTGGCCGGGGGGGCAGGCAGGGTCCCCCCGTCCCCACTCACCGCCTCGCGCAGGCAGAGCCGGCGCAGCTCCTGCACGCACCCGTCCAAGCGCGCCTCCAGAGCCCGCTGATGCCCGGCCCGCGGCCAGCCCGGGATACTGGGACCTGGGCATGGAGGAGGGAGAGAGGGATGGATGGGTTGGGATGGGAAGGGTAGGATGACATGGGGTAGGATGGGATGGGATGGGTGGGTGATGGATGGGTGGAGGGATGATGGATGGATGGATGGATGGATGAAGGATGGATGGATCAATGATGGATGGATGGATGGATGGATGAAGGATGGATGGATCAATGATGGATGGATGGATGGATGGATGAAGGATGGATGGATCAATGATGGATGGATGATGGATGGATGAAGAATGGATGGATCAATGATGGATGGATGGATGGATGGATGGATGGACAGAAGAAGAATGGAGGAATGGAGGTTGGATAGAGGACAGATTGAGGAGGGATGGAAGATGGATAGATGATGGATGGATGGAGGGATGGAGGGAGGGATGCATGGATGATGGATGGATGGAGGATGGATGGACGATGGATAGAAGAATGGAGGAATGGAGGATGGATAGAGGATGGATTGAGGAGGAATAGAGAATGGATGGGTGGATAGATGGGTGGATGGATGGATGGATGGATGATGGATGGATGATGGACAGCACACACCTATTGAGATTCACCCACACTCCCCCATCCTCAGTTTTCCCCACCCCCAGTGCAGAGCAAACCATCCCTGACCCCCCCAGCAGCACCCATGGGTGCTCCAGCTCCCAGGGAACGTTTCACCCTGACTCACCCATCCCCAGTGACTCAAACCCAGACCAGACAACCCCTCGCCATGCTTGGCCCCCCCCTAACCAGGGGAACCCCCATTTCTCCTCCCCCAAAGGAGCTTTGCTGCATCCCATACACTCAATTGCCCCATCCCCACCCCGGGGGCACTGTAAGAGGATGTGTGCGGGATGGGGCACCCCAAAACCTTCCCCCCCCCCCGCACCCTGACCCCCCCCCAGCGCTCACCCTGGTGCATCAGGATCCCGCTGTCCGCATCACTCGCTTCCCCCATGCCGGGCCGGGACCCTATGGGTGACACCATGGAGACACCTTGTCCCCGCGGCACCCCGCGGGCAGCACCCATGGGTGCTCCCCCTTTCCCTTCCCTTCCTGCTCCCCCCCATCCCCTCCGCATCGCCCCGTCCTTCCCCAGCGCCTTCCCGTAGGTCCTACAATAAACAAAGGTGCGCGCACACGTGCGTGGGGGCACCCAGCCCAGGGCAAAGGTGGTCTGGGTGCGGCGGTGCGGGGAGGTGCGGAGGGGGGGGAACTGGTTTCACTGGGCTCCGCTCCCAGTTTCCATCCCTTTTCCATCTGGGAATGGAGGGGGGAAGCTGCTGAGGTGGGAAAGCGGCTCCCCCCCGGCACCCCGACACCCCATTCCCTTGGGAACATGGGGGGGGGGGAATGGTGGGAGCGGGGTTTTGGGGTGCTCAGCACTGGGTTCCCCCCCTCTCCAAGCCGGGGGTCTCAGTTTCCCGGACGGGGCTGGACGGGGCTCCCGGTGCGTGGGGATGGGGGGGTCCTTACCTGGGCGCTCGCCGCCGGCTCTGCTGCGCCCGGGCCACCGGGACGTGTTGGGACTCGAGGCGCAGGGAGGGGAGGAGCGGGTGAGCAACACCTTCCGCAGCCTCGCCTCGCCCCGCGCCGCCCCGCAACCGGGCACCAGCGGCGGAGCTGCCCCCAGGTCCAGCAGCCCCTCAAAGCAACCGGTCCCGTGCGGGCTGGAGCAGCTCTGCTCTGGAGCCAGGCTGAGAGAGCTGGGCTGGGGCAGCCTGGAGAAGAGAAGGCTCCTGAAGGGGAGACCTTAGAGCAGCTCCAGTGCCTAAAGGGGCTGCAGGAAACCTGGAGAGGGGCTTGGGACAAGGGCCTGTAGGGACAGGGCAAGGGGAATGGCTTGAACCTGCCCGAGGGGAGACTGAGCTGAGCTCTTAGGCAGAAGCTCTTCCCTGTGAGGGTGCTGAGGCGCTGGCACAGGGTGCCCAGAGAAGCTGTGGCTGCCCCATCCCTGGCAGTGCTCAAGGCCAGGTTGGACACAGGGGCTTGGAGCAAGCTGCTCCAGTGGAAGGGGTCCCTGCCCGTGGCAGGGGTTGGAACTGGAGGAGCTTTAAGCTCCCTTCCAACCCAAACCAGGCTGGCATTCCACGACTCCTGGCTTCTCCCAACAGTCCCCATGGTGTGACCTGCATCAGCCACCTGCAAGAGCTGTAGGGCAATGAGGAGTGGCTGGAGCTGAAGGAGGTGGATGGATGTGATGGATGCATGGATACACAGATGGATGGATGACGGATGGATAGATGGATGGATGACGGACGGATGGATGGATGATATGGATGGATGGATGGATGGATGGATAGATGGATGGATGATATGGATGCATGGATACACGGATAAATGGATGGATGGATGGATGGATACACGGGTGATGGTAGATGGATGCTGGCTGTTCCTGGGTGGCACTGATGCTGCCCCTCAATAGGCGCTCGATTGATGCTGCCTGCTCCGGCCACCCAGCCTTAAACCTCCGCCTGGCGCTCGGGCTATCGACTGCCTCGGCACTCGCCTGCCCGCCCTGCGTGTTCCGGTGTCGCGTTGGCTACGGGGAGGGCGCCCCGCGCATGCGCAGCGCGGGCGGGCCGGTAACGGAGTTGGGGGTCCAGCGGCCGCCATGACTAACGGTGAGGGGGCAGTGGGGCCCTATGGGGGGCAATGGGGCTCTAAGGGGGGCAATGGAGCCCTGTGGGGGGCAATGGGGCTCTAAGGGGGGCAATGGGTCCCTGTGGGGGCCAGTGAGGCCCTAGGGGGGGCAGTGGGGCCCTGTGGGGTGCAGTGAGGCCCTAAGGGGATCAGTGGGGCCCCAAGGGGGGCAGTGGGGCCCCAAGGGGGGAAATGGGGCCCTATGGGGGGCAGTGGGCCCTGTTGGGGCCAGTGCGGCCCTAAGGGGGGCAGTGGGGCCCTATGCGGGGCAGTGGGGCCCTGTGGATGGCAGTGAGGCCCTGTGGAGGGCAGTGAGGCCCTAAGGGGGGCAGTGGGGCCCTGTGGGGGGCAGTGCGGCCCTAAAGGGGGGAGTGGGGCCCTATGGGGGGTGCCCGGTCTTTATGGGATGTATGGGTCCCTATGGGGTCTCTGGGTCCCTATGGGCTCTATGGGTCCCTGTGGGGTGTGTGGGTCTCTATGTGGTCTGTGGGTCCCTATGGGGTTTGTGGGTCCCTATGGGCTCTATGGGTCCCTGTGGGGTGTGTGGGTCCCTATGTGGTCTGTGGGTCCCTATGGGGTTTGTGGGTCCCTATGGGCTCTATGAGTCTCTGTGGGTCCCTATGGGGTGTGTGTGTCCTATGGGCTGTGTGCCCCGCAGTGTACTCGCTGGACGGGCTGGTGGTGTTCGCGCTGCTGCTGGTGTGCACCTGCGCCCACCTGCGCCACGTGCCCCGCATCAAGGGCTGGCTCCTGGGCGAGAAGCGCGGGCTCTGGGGAGTCTTCTACAAGGGTCAGTGGGGAGCGGGGGGGACATGGGGATGGGAACATGGGATATAGGGATGGGGATGGGGACACGGGCTATAGGGATTGGGATATGGGGATGGGGACAGGGATATGGGGACACGGGATATGGGGATTGGGATATGGGGATGGGGATACAGGAATGGGGACGGGGATATGGGGATTGGAACATGGGATATAGGAATGGGGATGGGGACAGGGATATGGGGATGGGAACATGGGATATGGGGGTGGGGATGGGGACAGGGATATGGGGATGGAGACATGGGATATGGGGGTGGGGATGGGGACAGGGATATGGGGATGGGGACATGGGATACAGGGATGGGGATACAGCAATGGGGACACGGGATATAGGGATGGGGATATAGGGATATGGGGATGGGGACATGGGATATAGGGATGGGGATACAGCAATGGGGACACGGGATATAGGGATGGGGATATAGGGATATGGGGATGGGGACACAGGATATAGAGATGGGCACATGGGATATGGGGATGGGGACATGGGGTATAGGGATGGGGATATAGGGATAGGGACATGGGATATGGGGGTATGGGGATGGGGACATGGGATATAGGGATGGGGACATGGGATATGGGGATGGGGACATGGGATATAGGGATGGAGATGAGGACATGGGGATTTGGATATGGGGATGGGGACATGGGATATAGGGATGGGGACGTGGGGATGGGGATGGGGACATGGGATATGGGGATGGGGATATGGGATATGAGGATGGGAACACGGGATATGGGGTGGGGATATGGGATATGGGGACACAGGATATAGGATGCGTTTGGGGACATGGTGATGGGACATGGCATATGTGGATGGAGATGAGGACATGGGGATGGGGATATGGGGATGGGGATGGGGACATGAGGATGGGGATACGGAATATAGGGATGGGGATGGGGACATGGGGTGTCGTCTCCCCCCCAAAACCTGACCCTGCTCTGCCCCCCCCACAGCCGCTGTCATCGGCACCCGCCTGCACGTGGCCGTGGCTGTGGCCTGCGTGCTCATGGCCTTCTATGTGCTGGTGGTGAAGTGACCCCCCCCCTGCAGCGCTGACAGCCACAGAGAGCCCGGTACCACCCCCCCGGCGCCCCACAGCCAGCCCGGACCTATGGGGGGGGCCTGCTTAGACCCCCCCTTCTGTGGGGCACCTCCGCACCCCTGGGGGTGCACAATGGGACCAGGGGCAGACCCAGCTGTGCCCCATGGGCACCTTCTCCTGATGCTGAACCCAGTGGCTCACAGGGGGCACGCTGCAGCCTCCTACCATGGGGACTTGTGGGGCTGGGACCCCTCTCCTACCCCCCCAGCAGTGGGATGTCCAGCCATGGGGGGGTCTGTCCCCTGTGCCCATGGGTTTGTCACTGCCCACATTGGGAATGCTGGAGCACAGCCTGGAAATAAAGCGGGGGCTCCCCTATGGGCAGCAGTGGTGCCTTGCTGGGGTTCTGTGGGGCAGGGGGGCTGCTATGGGGCTGGTTGGTGGGGGGGTTCCCATGGATCTGGAGTCCTGGGGGTTGGGAGGGGTCTGGAAGCTATGGGTCAAGGCGCTTCTGTGGGGCTGGCTGCCAGGGGTTGTGGGGCTGGTCCCTGTGTGGGTCAAGGGCAGCTGTGGGGTGCCATAGGGCAGGGGGCTGGGTGCTGTGGGATCCCATAGGGCAGGGGGCTGGGTGCTGTGGGGTCCCATAGGGCAGGGGGCTGGCTGCTGTGGGGTCCCCAGTAGTTGTGGGGCGAGGGGGGCCCCATGGGGCTCCTCCCGGTGGGAGGAGAGGGGGGTCCTGTGCTTGTGCAAGGGGGCAGAGGAGAGGTTCGGTCCTCCCAACCAGCAGGGGGCGCGGTGTGGCGAGGCGGGGCCTGGCTTGGCCACGCCTTTTCCCATCGTGCGCCGCGCGGGCGCGCCATAAGCTGGCGGCGGGGGGCGAGCGGCGGGTGCGTGAGTGCGAGTGTGAGTGAAAAGGGTGCGTGCGAGCGTGCGTGTGCAAGGGGTGCGTGTGTGTGTGTGCAAGGGGCGTGCGAGGCCGCGGTGCCCCCCGCTCACAGCCCTACACGTTGATCTTATTCGATCGGCCCCGGCCGAGATGAGAAGAGCAGCGCCGCGAAGCCCCGTTCCCATCCCGGGGCGCTGTGCGGCGGCGGCGCGGGCGGGATGAGTCGATCAGATAGGCGAGGCGCCGAGCCGCTGAGCTGCTGCGAGTCTGACCCGCGGCCGCCGCCGCACCGGGAGCGCGCATGGGCCCAGTGTCACGGACACGGGGCCGCGCGTTACCCCCGTCCCTGCGCCGTCACCTGCACTGCAGCGCCCCCGTGTGGACGGGGGTGGAGGCGTGGCCGCCGTGCTCCCTGTATCCCATGGAGCCAACAGGCTGGAAAAGCCCTTTAATCCCATCCGGTCCAACCGGTCCCCATCAGTGCCAAGGCCACCCCTAACCCATGGCACTGAGGATGTGTGAACACTTGCAGGGACGGTGCCTGCAGCCCTGCCCTGGGCAGCCTGTTCCAATGCCTGAGCACCCTCTGGGGCAGGAATTGTTCCTCAGCTCCATCTAACCCTGCCCTGGTGCAGCTTGAGGCCGGTTCCTCTTGTCCCATCCCTTGTTCCTTGGGAGCAGAGCCCAGCCCCTCCTGGCTCCATCCTCCTCTCAGGCAGTTGGAGGCAGCCATCAGGTCCCCCCTGAGCCTTCTCTTCTCCACACTGAACCCCCCAGGTCCCTCAGCCCTTCCCCATCACACTGTGCTCCAGGCCCTGCCCCAGCTCCGCTGCCCTTCTCTGGCCCCGCTCCAGCCCCTCAAGGTCTCTCCTGTAGTGAGGGGCCCAGAGCTGAACACAGGATCCGAGGTGCGGCCTCACCAGTGCCCAGTGCAGGGGCTCAATCCCTGCCCTGGCCCTGCTGCCGCACTGGTGCTGGTACAGGCCAGGATGCTGGGGGCTGCTTGGCTGCCTGGGCACAAGCTGCTCCTGTTCAGCTCCATCACTCAGCACCCCCGCTCTTCCCAAGCCTGGAGCGTTGCAGGAGGCTGCTGTGGCCCAAGTACAGGACCTGGCACTTGGCCTTGTGGAACCTGATCCCATTGGCAAAGCCCATGGACCCGGAGGTGGCACCGGTCACCACTGCTCTGGGCTCGGCCACCCAGCGAAGGGTCCTCCAGTCCATGCCGTGGGCAGCCCCTGTCTGCAGGAGAGCACTGGGGACAGTGTCAGTGCTTTATTGAAGTCCCTGTCCCCGTATCCCAGGTCCCCCTGCCCCTGTGTGTCCCATGTCCCTATATACCTCTATCCCATGTCCACATGTCCCTATATCCCATGTCCACGTATTCCATATCCCCATGTCTCTATGTGTCCCCTCTTCCTATATCACATATCCCCATATCCCGTGTCCCATGTCCCTGCATCCTATGTTCCCATGTGTGTCCCATGTCCCTATATACCTCTATCCCATGTCCACATCCCTATATCCCATGTCCACGTATTCCATATCCCCATGTCTCTATGTGTCCCCTCTTCCTATATCACATGTCCCCATATCCCGTGTCCCATGTCCCTGCATCCCATGTTCCCATGTGTGTCCCATGTCCCTATATCCAATATCCCCATGTCCCTACATCCCATATCTCCATCTCCCTATATCCCATATTCCCATATGTCCCATATCCCTCTTTCCCCCATTCCCCGTGTCCTGGTGCCCCCAGCCCTTAACAGGAGATGGGACCATTCCCGGGGTGTGTGTGTGGGGGGGGGTGAATTCACTCCCGGTGCCAGGCAGGGATGGAGGGCCGAGGGGGGGTGGGTGGAGAGGGTGATTCCTGGTGCCATTCCCGGGATCACGCTCCCAGTAACAGGCTTTGCAGGGATAACAGTGCTGGGATAACGATGCTGGGATAATGATGCCAGGATAACGATGTTGGGATAACGATGCCGGGAGAACGATGCCGGGATAACGATGCCGGGATAATGATGCTGGGATAATGATGCCGGGATAGCGATGCTGGGATAACGATGCTGGGATAACGATGCCGGGATAACGATGCTGGGATAACGATGCCGGGATAACGATGCCGGGATAACGATGCCGGGATAACGATGCCGGGATAATGATGTCGGGTGCTGCTGGGATAACGATGCCGGGATAACGATGCCGGGATAACGATGCTGGGATAACGATGCTGGGATAACGCTGCCGGGATAACGCTGCTCGGCTCCGCTCCCGCTCCGGCGCTCCCACGGTAACGGCGCCGCTCCCGTTCCCGTTCCCGTTGTTCCCGTTTCCTCCGCTCCGCCCCGGGGCGGGGGCGGGCGCAGGTGCCCGCAGGTGCGCGCACGGGGCCGGGCCGTTGAGCGGGAGGGGCGGGGCCCGTGCCCGGTGCTCGGGGCCCGTTCGGGGCCGAATCCTGCGCCATGGCCGGGGCCCGCTGGGCGCTGCTGGCGCTGAGCCTGGCGGCCGCAGCCGGGACCGGGACCGGGACCGCCGGGGAGCGGCTCCACGTCTGCAAGGAGGTACCGGTACCGCGGGGGGGGGCTACAGGGTGCGGGGGGTCCGTATAGGGGGTGTGGGGGTCTCTATAACGGGTGTAGGGTCCCCTATAGGGTGCGGGGGGTCTCTATAACGGCTGTGGGGTCCCCTATAGGGCGGGGTCTCTATAACGGCTGTGGGGTCCCCTATAGGGTGCGGGGGGGGTCTCTGTAACGGCTGTGGGGTCCCCTATAGGGTGTGTGGGGTCTCTATAACGGGTGTAGGGTCCCCTATAGGGTGTGTGGGGTCTCTATAACGGGTGTAGGGTCCCCTATAGGGTGTGTGGGGTCTCTATAACGGGTGTAGGGTCCCCTATAGGGTGTGTGGGGTCTCTATAACGGCTGTGGGGTCCCCTATAGGGTGCGGGGGGGTCTCTGTAACGGCTGTGGGGTCCCCTATAGGGTGTGTGGGGTCTCTATAACGGGTGTGTGGGGTCTCTATAACGGGTGTGGGGTCCCCTATAGGGTGCGAGGGGGTCCCTATAGGGTGCGGGGGATCTCTATCATGGGTGTGTGGTCCCCTATAGGGTGCGGGAGGTCCCTATCGGGTGTGTGGGGTCTCTATAACGGGTGTAGGGTTCCCTATCGGGTGCGGGGGGTTCTCTGTAATGGCTGTGGGGTCCCCTATATGGTGTATGGGGTCCCATATATGGGGTGTGGGGTCCCTATAGGGGGTGTGTGTGTATCTATAACGGGTGTGGGGTCCCCTATAGTGTGTGTATCTTTCTCTATAATGGGTGTAGGGTCCCTATAGGCTGTGTGTGTGTATCTATAACAGGTGTGGGGTCCCCTGTAGCAGGGGGGGGTGTCTCTATAATGGTTGTGGGTGTCCCTATATTACGGGGGGGCTGCTCCTATGGCGTGGGGGGAGTCCCTATAGTGTGGAGTTCCATGTAGTGTGTGCGGTCCTTATAGCATTGGGGGTTCCCTATAGCGTGGCAGCGTCCCTATAGCATGGAGGGGTCCCCTATAGTGTCTGTGTGGGTTCCTATAGTGTGTGTATGGGGTCCCTATAGTGGGGGTGGCTCCACCCTCGCCTAGAAGGGGATCCCATGGAGGGGCTGTCACCCATAGGGGATGTATGGACCGGGCTGTGCTGCTTGTAAAGAGAAGGGGGATGCTGCAAAGGGTCCCCTATAGCGATGGGATGGATAAGGGGGGGGTGTCTGTGATGCTGGGAGTGATCCAGGGGGGTCCCTATGGCCACCAGGTCCTTGATGTCCCCACATCCCAGTTGGATTCTGACACTGGGGAGACATCGTAGTGCCCCCAAACCCCAATGGGGGGGAAGTGGGTGTCACCCATATCCCATGGGCTGGTTCCATGCTGGCCCAATGGGGACAGATTGCCCTGTGAGGGGAAAGGGGGGGGGCTCTGCTCACCCCATGGGGTCCCCCCCCGATGCCCAGCGGCTGCTTTCATCTGGGTCTGTGATCCGGTTTTCCACGTGTGTTTGTTCCAGAGCCCAGAGTTGGGAACAATGGGATGGGGCTGGCTCCCGGCCCAGGGAAACACCCCCATGGGGGGGAATTGTGTCCCTTGTCCCCATCCCTCTCTGGGGACAGCCCCAACCCGCACCCCCCCCCCCCCCGGGGGTGAATTGGGTCAAAAGGTTGGGATTTAAGGGGAAATTCGGTGCTTTTGTACCAGGGGGGAGTTTGGGAAGAGGGGAACGAGCTCCTTCTTCCCATTGGAATCCACCCGGAGCCAGCGCTGCTCCTGCACCCATGGGGTCCCGGTGCTGGTGGCACCAAGCTCTGTGTCCCCAGCCCAGGCTGGGGGCCCCCTTGATGCTGCCACCGCCCCAGAGCCAGCGGCATCGGCCTTCACTGGGATCAATGGCTCCGGTTGGATTCGGCTCCTTGGCCTGGAGCCAGTCCCAGCCCAGAAGGTCACAGTGCCCCGGCTCTGATCCTGCCGGCGGCACCGCAATGGTGCTGCCACCCAAGGGTCCTTGCGATGAAGGGTGTTCCCAATGGAGGGCACTTCTGATGGAGGGTGCGCCCACCAAAGAATGCATCCAGTGGGGGGTGCTCAGGTGGAGGGTATTCCCAATGGAGGGTGTTCCTGATGGATGGTGCTCCTGATGGAGGATGCTCCCAATGAAGGGTGCTCTCAATGGGGGGTACTCCCAGTGGTGATGCTCCCAATGGATGGCGCTCCCACCAAAGGGTCCTTCCAATGGAGGGTGCTCTCAATGAAGGATGCTCCCAATAGAGGATACTTCCAATCTCTATTGGAAGTGCTCCCAATGCAGGGTGCTCCCAATAGAGGGTGCTCTCAATGGAGAGTGCTCCCAATGCAGGGTGCTCCCAGTGAAGGATACTTCCAATAGAGAGTGCTGCCAATGGAGGGTGCTCCCAATGCAGGGTGCTCCCAATAGGGGGTGCTGCCAATGCAGGGTGCTCCCAATGCAGGGTGCTCCCAGTGAAGGATGCTCCCAGTGAAGGATGCTCCCAGTGAAGGATGCTGCCAGTAGAGGGTGCTCCCAATGCAGGGTGCTTCCAATTAAGGATGCTCCCAATGCAGAGTGCTCCCAGTGAAGGATGCTCCCAATGCAGGGTGCTCCCAATGCAGGGTGCTCCCAACGCAGGGTGCTTCCAGTGAAAGATGCTCCCAATGCAGGGTGCTCCCAATGAAGGGTGCTCCCAATAGAGGGTGCTCCCAGTGCAGGGTGCCTCCAATTAAGGATGCTCCCAATGGAGGGTGCTCCCAATGCAGGATGTTCCCAGTGCAGGGTGCTCCCAGTAAAGGATGCTCCCAGTAAAGGATGCTCCCAGTAAAGGCTGCTCCCAACGGAGGCTGCTCCCAGTGCAGGGTGCTCCCACCAACGGGCTCTCCTTGGAGGGAGGGGGTGTGTTCCCCATCACCCCGCAGTGCCCCGGGGCCGCAGCTCCCCGTGTGTCTCCTCTCCCGCAGTCCGAGTACCACTACGAGTACACGGCGTGTGACAGCGCGGGCTCGCGGTGGCGGGTGGCGGTGCCGCACACACCGGGGCTCTGCACCGGGCTGCCGGACCCCGTCAGGGGCACCGAGTGCTGTAAGGCCGGGATGGGCGGGAGGAGCAGTGTTTGGGGGGGGTGAATCCGCATTGGGGTGACCCCTGTGCCCCCCATGCAGCGTTCTCATGCAGGGCGGGTGAGTTCCTGGACATGAAGGCGCAGCGGTGCCGGCCCTGCGCCGAGGGCACCTACTCCTTGGGTACCGGGGTCCGCTTTGATGAGTGGGATGAGGTGCCCCACGGCTTCGCCAGCGTCGCCACCAGCCTGGACAGCGATGATGGCTTTGGGGATGCGGTGGAGAACTGCACGGGGTGAGTGCTGGTGGCAGAGGTGGGGATGGGGATGGGCACGGCATCAGCGGGGCTGGAGGGGGGGCACAGCATCAATGGGGCTGGAAGGGGGACACAGCATCAGTAGGGCTGGGAATGGTCACAGCAGCAGCAGGGCTGGAAGGAGGACACAGCATCAGTAGGGCTGGAAGGGGGTAACAGCATCAGTAGGGCTGGAGTGGGGGGACAGCATCAGTAGGGCTGGGAGTGGTCATGGCATCAATGGGGCTGGAAGGGGGTCACAGCATCAGTGGGGTTGGGAATGCTAACAGCAGCAGTAGGGCTGGAGGGGGGACACAGCATCAACAGGGCTGGGAATGGTCACAGCATCAGTAGGGCTGGGAATGGTCATGGCATCAACGGGGCTGGAAGGGGGTCACAGCATCAGTAGGGCTGGAAGGGGGACACAGCATCACTGGGGCTGGAAGGGGGTCACAGCATCAGTAGGGCTGGAAGGAGGTCACAGCATTAACGGGGATGGAAGGAGGTCACAGCATCAATGGGGCTGGAAGGGGGTCAGAGCATCAATGGGGCTGGAAGGGGCTCACAGCATCAGTAGGGCTGGAAGCAGGTCAAAGCATCAGTAGGGCTGGAAGGGGGTCACAGCATCAGTAGGGCTGGAGGGGGTCACAGCATCATCAGGCCTGGAAAGCACTCTGGAGATCCTCTGGTCCAGCTCCTCCAGAGGAGGAGTTTCCCCCCCATGGGGTGCTGCTGGGGGCTCATCTGCCCTGGCACAATGGTGACGGTGCAGCAGCGAGCAGGATGGGTGCTGTGCCCCCTCTATGCATGGACAGCACCCCATTTCCTGCTCCCCCACCCTCCCTCCATCACTGTGCCCTGGGGGGATGATGCTGGCAGGGCGCTACAGGGACCCTATGGGTGGTGGGACCCCCAGCCCTATGGGACACCCACACCCTCACAGAAGGAGCACCCATGGGTGTCCCCACAACCCAACACCTTTACCTTCCACCATGGGGCACCCACAGCACCCAACCCTCCTCGGAGGGAGCATCCCCATACCTTTGTGCCATGAACCAGCACCGCACTGGTGCTGGCACCATCCAACCCTCCCGGTACCGGTGGCTCCGGTGCTGCTGCGGTGTTTATGCAACTTGCAAATGTAACCTACTTCCAGCAGCGCTTCCATTATCCATCCATCAGCTCCGGTGTGGGATCCTTCCTCCTCCTCCTCCTCCTCCTCTTCCTCCTCCCCATTGCCCATCACAATGCGAATGTCCCCCAGGGACACATCCCCCATGCCCAACGCCACCCCCCTGCCCCATTGGCACCATCCCCACCAGCACGGGGTCCATGCTGGTGATGGGGATGTGTCCCCCAACCCCAGCTCAACGTGGGTACCGCTGGGGGACTACGTGGCCTCCAACACGGATGAGTGCACGGCCACGCTCATGTACGCCGTCAACCTCAAGCAGTCGGGGACCGTGTCCTTCGAGTACCTGTACCCCGACAGCAGCATCGTCTTCGAGTTCTTTGTAGGTGATGGGGGCAAAGGGGGGGGCAATGGGGGTGTCCCTGGGGGCAATGGAAACAATGGGGGTGTCCCTTGGGGCAATGGGGGTGTCCCTGGAGGCAATGGGGGTGTCCTTGGGGGCATTGGGGGTGTCTCTGGGTGCAACGGTGGTGTCCCTGGGGCAATGGGGGTGTCCCTGGGACAATGGGGGTGTCCCTGGGGGCAATGGGGGTGTCCCTGGGGGCAATGGGGGTGTCCCTGGGGGCAATGGGTGTCCCTGGACAATGGGGGTGTCCCTGGGGCAATGGGGGTGTCCCTGGGGGCAATGGGGGTGTCCCTGGGGACAATGGGGGTGTCCCTGGGGGCATTGGGGGTGTCCCTGGGGGCAATGGGGGTGTCTCTGGAGACAATGGGGGTGTCCCTGGGGGCAATGGGGGTGTCCCTGGGGGCAACGGGGGTGTTCCTGGGACAATGGGGGTGTTCCTGGTGGCAATGGGGGTGTCCCTGGGCACATGGGGATCCTTGCACCACTCCTGTAGGTGCAGAACGACCAGTGCCAGGCCACAGTGGAGGAGTCGCGGTGGATGCGGACAACGGAGAAGGGTTGGGAATTCCATAGCGTGAGTGATGAGCATGGGGGGAGTGACACGGGGAGGGAGAGGTGACGGGGGGGGGGTCCCTCATTGCACCCCCCCAAGGTCCCTTGTCCATCCCCTGTGAAGAAGATGCCCCATGAGGGTGGGTGCTGGCAGAGCGGGGTTAAGCCCTCAACCCCCCCACCCATGGGTGCTGACACCCCCCCCCCCCATCACCCCTCTCCATCCAGGTGGAGCTGAGCCGCGGGAACAACGTCCTCTTCTGGCGCACCACGGCCTTCTCCGTGTGGTCCAAGGTGCCCAAGCCGGTGCTGGTGAGGAACATCGGCATCACCGGTAGGTGCAGGCTGCAAGGATGGATGATGGATGGATGATGGATGGATGGATGGATGATGGATGGATGATGGATGGATGGATGGATGATGGATGGATGATGGATGGATGGATGGATGATGGATGGATGGAGGGATGGATGGATGGATGATGGATGGATGATGGATGGATGGATGGTGGAGGATGGATGGATGGATGGAGGATGGATGGATGATGGATGGATGGATGATGGATGGATGGATGGATGGATGGATGGATGATGGATGGATGGATGATGGATGGATGATGGATGGATGGATGGAGGATGGATGGATGGTGGAGGGAGGGAGGGATGGATGGATGGATGATGGATGGATGATGGATGGATGGATGGATGGATGGAGGATGGATGGATGATGGATGGATGGATGATGGATGGATGAATGGATGGATGGATGGATGATGGATGGATGGATGATGGATGGATGATGGATGGATGGATGGAGGATGGATGATGGATGGATGGATGGAGGATGGATGGATGGTGGAGGGATGGAGGGATGGATGGATGGATGATGGATGGATGATGGATGATGGATGGATGGATGATGGATGGATGGTGGAGGGAGGGAGGGATGGATGGAGGATGGATGGATGGTGGAGGGAGGGAGGGATGGATGGATGGATGATGGATGGATGGATGGATGGAGGATGGATGGATGGATGGATGGATGGATGATGGAGGGAGGGAGGGAGGGATGTCTGGATAAATGATGTCTGGATGGATGATGTCTGGATGGATGATGTCTGGATGGATGATGTCTGGATGGATGATGGAGGGAGGGATGGAGGGAGGGAGGGAGGGATAAATGATGGATGGATGGATGATGGATGGATGCATGCATGGATGATGGATGATGGATGGATGGATGAATGGATGATGGAGGGAGGGAGGGAGGGAGGGAGAGAGGGATGGATGGATAAATGATGGATGGATGATGGATGGATAGAGGGATGGATGGATGGATGCAGCGGGGGTGTCCCCATCGCCCCCATCACCCCCTGCACTGATCCCCATCCCATGCCAGGGGTTGCCTTCACCTCCGAGTGCTTCCCCTGCAAACCGGGCACCTTCGCGTCCACCGCCGGCTCCTCCTCCTGCCAGCCCTGCCCGGCCGACTCCTCCTCGGCCAAAGGGGCCACCTCCTGCCAGCCCTGCGAGCCCGGCACCTACGCGGGTGAGCGGGGACACGGCCCCCATCCCCTAAACCCCATCCCCACCCCGCGGTGACGGAGGGGACCGCGGTGGGGGTACCACGGACACGCGGGTGATGGGAGCATCCCCACAGAGCCCGGCTCAGCCTCCTGCAAGCCGCGGCCGCCCTGCACGGACAAGGATTACTTCTACACTCACAGTGCGTGCGATGAGCACGGGGAGGTACGGAAGGAAAGAGGGGGGGAACCGCTCCGTGTGCCCCCCCCCGGCCCCGCTCAGCCCCCGGCCCCCCGCTCTGCAGACGCAGTTGATGTTCAAATGGGCCGAGCCCAAGGTGTGCAGCGAGGAGCTCCCGCAGGCGGCCAAGCTGCCCCCATCGGGGGGCCGGACCCGATGCCCCCCCTGCAACCCCGGCTTCGCTGCCACCAACGGCTCCGCCTGCCAGCCCTGTCCCATGGGATCCTACTCCAACGGCTCCGGTACCGCTGCTGCCAATGGGGCACCCCGGGTTCTGTCCCCGTGTTGGGTCCTTGGGGTCCCAGTGTCAGCTCTGTCGGCCCACAAGGGGTGACCTGAGGGTGTCGGGGGGTTGGTGGGCTCCATCCCATTGCTGGATTGTCCCTTCCTATGGCTCCAGCAAGGGCATCGCTGTCATTGTCCCCAAGGGGTGACCTGAGGGTGTCAGGGGGTGTCAAGAGGTTGGTGGGCTCCATCCCATTGCTGGGTTGTTCCCCCCTATGGCTCCAGCAAGGGCATCGCTGTCATTGTCCCCAAGGGATGACCTGAGGGTGTCAGGGGTTGGTGGGCTCCATCCCACTGCTGGATTGTCCCCTCCTGTCCCTATGGCTCCAGCAAGGGCATCACTGTCATTGTCCCCAAGGGGTGCCTGTGGGTGTCAAGAGGTTGGTGGGTTCCATCCCATTGCTGGGTTGTCCCTTCCTATGGCTCCAGAAAGGGCACTGCTGTCATTGTCCCCAAGGGGTACCTGTGGGTGTTGGGGGGTTGGTGGGCTCCATCCCACTGCTGGATTGCCCCTTCCTATGGCTCCAGCAAGGGCACTGCTGTCATTGTCCCCAAGGGATGACCTGAGGGTGTCAGGGGGTGTCAAGAGGTTGGTGGGCTCCATCCTGTTGTTGGATTGTCCCTTCCTATGGCTCCAGCAAGGGCATCGCTGTCATTGTCCCCAAGGGGTGACTTGAGGGTGTCGGGGGGTTGGTGGGCTCCATCCCACTGCTGGGTTGTCCCCTCCTGTCCCTATGGCTCCAGAAAGGGCATCTCTGTCATTGTCCCCAAGGGGTGACCTGAGGGTGTCAAGAGGTTGGTGGGCTCCATCCCACTGCTGGATTGTCCCTTCCTATGGCTCCAGCAAGGGCATCACTGTCATTGTCCCCAAGGGGTGACGTGGGTGCCTGTGGGTGTCAGGGGGTTGGTGGGCTCCATCCCATTGCTGGGTTGTCCCTTCAGAAAGGGCATCGCTGTCATGTTGGGCTCCAGAATGGGCATCGCTGTCATTGTCCCCAAGGGATGACCTGTGTGCCAGACTTGCCAGTGGGTTGGTGGGTGCCACCCCAGTGCTGGGATGTCCCCTCCTGTCCCCATGGCTCCATTAAGAACATCACTCTCATCACCTCATCCCCAAGGGGTGCCCAGAGCTCTTGGTGGGGGTTGGTGGTTCCCATCAAGACATCACCATCATTGTCCCCAATGGGTATCGGGGTGTTGGGGTGGTGTCTGTTGGGTACCACCACAGCTCCGTGCTGTCCCCCCCCCATCCGCAGGCTGCCTGAGCTGCCCCGCGGGCATGGAGCCGGTGCTGGGGCTGGAGTACAAGTGGTGGAACGTGCTGCCCCCCAACATGGAGACCACGGTGCTCAGCGGCATCAACTTCGAGTACAAGGGGATAGCAGGTAGGACCCGAGCACCCCTGGGTGCTGTGCCCTGCATTGGGGACCCCATTGAGCCCCCTCCGTGTCCCTGCAGGCTGGGAGGTGGCCGGGGATTACATCTACACAGCGGCCGGAGCCTCCGACAACGACTTCATGATCCTCACGTTGGTGGTGCCGGGCTTCAGGTGAGGGGGGCACCAGCACCCAGAGAGGGATGGGGGGGATGCAGCCCCATGGGTCCCAACGCTGCTGTCCACAGCCCCCCGAGCCCGGTGCTGGAGGACACAGAGAGCAAGGAGGTGGCCAGGATCACCTTCGTCTTTGAGACCATCTGCACCGTCAACTGCGAGCTCTACTTCATGGTGGTGAGAGATGGGACCTGTGTGTTGGGGGGGGCACACACATTGGGGTGTATAGAGGGGGGTCCCCACCATTGCTCCATCCACACACAAGGGCATCAACTCCCACACCAACACCCCGGTGGAGACGTGGACAGGCCCACGGGGGAAGCAGTCCTACACCTACGTGGTGGAGAAGAACGCGAGCATGAGCTTCACATGGGCTTTCCAGCGCACCCCATACCATGAAGAGGTGAGGAATGGGGTGTCCCCCCCCCACCATCCCCATCCCCATTGGGTGCTATGGGTGACGGGTGCTGTCCCTGCCAGGGCCGGCGCTACACCAGCGACGTGGCCAAGCTCTACTCCATCAACGTCACCAATGTCCTCGGTGGGGTGGCCTCCTTCTGCCGGCGCTGCGCCCCCGAGGCCGAGGGCTCCTGCGCCCCGTGCCCCCCCGGGCACGTCATGGACCATGGAGTGGGCGCCTGCCGGCCCTGCCCGCCCGGCACCTACCTGCGGGGTCACCCCGCTGATGGGCTCCCCGCCTGCCACCCCTGCGGGCCCGGCACGTACAGCAACCAGGTACCTGGCTCTGTGTGCCTGGGGGGGGCATGGGGACTGGGTTCATGGGATGGGGTCCATGGGGAGATGTCAATGGGGTTGGGGTCCATGGGGTTTGGGTCCATGGGGTGATGTCCATAGGATTTGGGTCCATGGGGTTTGGGTCCATGGGGTGATGTCAATGGGGTGATGATGTCCATGGGTGATGATGTCCATGGGTGATGATGTCCATGGGTGATGCCCATGGGGTTTTGGTCCATGGGGTTTGGGTCCATGGGGTGATGTGTATGGGGTGATGTCCATGGGGTTTAGGTCCATGGGATTTGGGTCTATGGGGTGATGTCAATGGGGTGATGATGCTCATGGGGTGATGTCCATGGGTGGTGATGTCCATGGGTGATGGTGTCCATGGGATGATGTCCATGGGGCTTGGGTCTGTGGCTGATGTCATGTCCATGGGTGATGGTGTCCATGGGATGATGTCCATGGGGCTTGGGTCTGTGGCTGATGTCAATGGGGTGATGATGTCCATGGGGTTATGATGTCCATGGGTGATGGTGTCCATGGGTGATGATGTCCATGGGTGATGCCCATGGGGTGATGATGTCCATGGGTGATGATGTCCATGGGTGATGCCCATGGGGTGATGATGTCCATGGGTGATGATGTCCATGGGTGGTGATGTCCATGGGGTGATGTCCATGGGGTGATGATGTCCATGGGGTTTGGGTCCATGGGGTGATGTCAATGGGGTGATGATGTCCATGGGTGGGTTCCCCCCTCCCCGCCCATCCCCTGTGGTGCCCCCGGGCGGCTCCCTGCAGGGGGCGCTGTTCCCGGTACCCCCCCCCCGCTGACGCTCTGCGCAGCTGCGCTCTCTCTGCTTCAACAACTGCTCGGCGGCGCTGCCGCTGCGGGGCCGGCTCCTCCGGTTCGAGTTCCCCAGCATGGCGGCGCCCGCCGCGCTCAGCACCGGCCCGGCCTTCACCCCCCGCGGGCGGCGCTACCGGCACCACTTCCGGGTCAGCCTCTGCGGGCCGCAGGTGCGGGGAGCACGTGTGCGGGAGAGAGAGATCACGTGGGGAGAGAGAGAGATCACGTGGGGGAGAGAGAGATCACGTGGGGGAGAGAGAGATCACGTGTGTGTGAGAAAGGGAGCACGTGGGTGAGAGAACGTACGTGTGTGTGTGCATGAGCATACATTGTGTGTAGGTGAACATACGTGTGTGTGAGAACATACATGTGTGTGAGAGAACATGTGTGTGTGCGTGAACATGCATGTGTGTGCGTGAACATATATGTGTGAGAGAGAACATACATGTGTGTGAGAACATACGTGTGTGTGCATGAACATACGTGTGTGCATGAACATATATGTGTGTGAGAGAACATACATGTGTGTGCATGAGCATACATTGTGTGTGACAACATATGTGTGTGCGTGAACATATATGTGTGAGAGAACATACATGTGTGTGCATGAACATGTGTGTGTGAACATACGTGTGTGAGAGAGAACGTGTATGTGAGAGAACATACATTGTGAGAGAACGTGTGTATATGTGAGAGCATAAGTATGTGGGTGAACATGCATGTGTGCATGAACACGTGTCAACCTGTGTGTGTGTACACACGTGCACTCATACATGCACACATGCTCATAGTCACTGATGCAAATACTGAGTCATACAAGCACACGCACATGCAGCTACATGCAGAGTCATACAAGCACACAAGCACACACATGCACACATGTACACACACACATGTTCACATGCACACACATTCATACACATGTATGTTCTCTCACACATGTATGTTCTCACACATGTATGTTCACACACATGTATGTTCATGCACACACATGTTTACACACATATGTTCATGCACACATGTATGTTCACACACACATGTTCACGTGCTCACACACGTATGCTCATGCACGCACACACGTTCACGCACACACACGTATGTTCACGCACAAGCACATGTATGTTCACACACATGTATGTTCACACACGTATGCTCATGCATGCACACACGTTCACACACACACACACGTATGTTCGCACACAAGCACATGTATGTTCACACACACGTATGTTCACGCACACACATGTATGTTCACGCCCCCACGGCCATGCCCCTGTGTGTGCTGCCCGCAGGGCCGGAAGGCGGCTGCCTGCAGTGACAATGTGACGGAGGCGCGGCTGCGCGTGGTCACGGGTTACGTGTGCCAGGCCACGCTCGTGCCCCCCGACCGCCCCCGCCACCAGGGCCCCATCTCCTCACAGCCAATCAGCCTCGGGGACCGCATCCTGGGTGAGCCCCGGGACCCATCCCCATTGACCCCATCCCCAGGGACCCATCCCCATCCCCAGGCACCCCCCATCCCCATCAACCTCATCCCCAGGGACCCATCCCCATCCCCACTGACCCCATCCCCAGGCACCCCCCATCCCCAGGGACCCCCATCCCCAGGGACCCCCATCCCCATCGACCCCATCCCCAGGGGCCCATCCCCAAGGACCCCAATCTCCATCCCCAGGGACCCCATCCTCATTCTCAGGGACCCATCCCCAGGGACCCCATCCCCATTCTCAGGGACCCCCATCCCCAGAGACCCCATCCCCAGGGACCCATCCCCATCGACCCCATCCCCAGGGCCCCCATTCCCAGGGACCCCCATTCCCATCAACACCATCCCCATCGACCCCATTCCCAGGGACCCCCATTCCCATCAACACCATCCCCATCGACCCCATTCCCAGGGACCCCCATCCCCATTGCCACCATCCCCATCGACCCCATCCCCAGGGACCCCAATCTCCATCCCCAGGGACCCCATCCCCAGGGAGCCCCCATTCCCATCCCCAGGCACCCCTCAGTGCCATGGGGTCCCCCCCCAGCCCTATGAGACCCCCATATCCCTGCCCCCCTGTCCCACAGGGGTCACCACCAGCTCCACCCTGGACGGCATCACCTCCCCTCCGGAGCTCTTCCCACTGGGACACCCCGACCTGCCCGACATCATCTTCTTCTACCGGTGCGTGCCCCCCCCCTGCGCCCCCCACTGCATCCCCTCAGTGCCCCCCATTGACCCCCATGTCCATCCATGCAGGTCCAATGATGTGACACAGCCGTGCAGCTCCGGCCGCGCCACCGCCATCCGCCTGCGCTGTGACCCATTGCTCCCCAGCCCCGGCACCCTCAGCGTGCCCAGGTGGGTGCTTGGGGGCCCCCATGCGGTGCTGCCTGTGCTGTGCCCCCCATCCCTGTGTTGGTGCCTCCCCAGGTGACCCCCCCATGGTTTTATGTGTGTCCCCCCTGCAGTAAATGCCCCGAGGGCACCTGTGACGGCTGCACCTTCCACTTCCTGTGGGTGACGGGCGAAGGGTGCCCCCGCTGCTCCTCCAGCCACTATCGCCCCATTGTCAGCGCTTGCCTTGGTGGCGTCCAGGTATGACCGCGACCAGGGTGTGACCATGACTGTGGTGTGACCATGATGATGGTGTGACCATGACCATGGTGTGACCATGACCATGGTGTGACTGCAGCCATGGTGTGACCATGACCATGGTGTGACTGCAGCCATGGTGTGACCATGACCATGGTGTGACCATGAACACAGTGTGACCGCAACCATGGTGTAACCATGATGATGGTGTGACCATGACCATGGTGACCATGACCATGGTGTGACTGCAGCCATAGTGTGACCATGACCATGGTGTGACCATGAACACAGTGTGACCACAACCATGGTGTAACCATGATGATGGTGTGACCATGACCATGGTGTAACCATGACTGTGGTGTGACCATGATGATGGCGTGACAGCAACCATGGTGTGACCGCGACCATGGTGTGACCATGACCATGGTGTGACTGCAGCCATGGTGTAACCATGACCATGGTGTGACCAGGAACACAGTGTGACCACAACCATGGTGTAACCATGATGATGGTGTGACCATGACCATGGGGCAACCATGACTGTGGTGTGACCTTGATGATGGCGTGACAGCAACCATGGTGTGACCATGCCCATGGCGTGACCGTGATCGTGGTGTGACTGCAGCCATAGTGTGACCATGACTATGGTGTGACCATGAACACAGTGTGACCACAACCATGGTGTAACCATGATGATGGTGTGACCATGACCATGGGGCAACCATGACTGTGGTGTGACCATGATGATGGCGTGACAGCAACCATGGTGTGACCATGACCATGGCGTGACCATGATCGTGGTGTGACTGCAGCCATAGTGTGACCATGACTATGGTGTGACCATGAACACAGTGTGACTGCAACCATGGTGTAACCATGATGATGGTGTAGCCATGACCATGGTGCAATCATGACTGTGGTGTGACCATGACCGTGGTGCAACCATGATGATGGTGTGACCACAACCATGGTGTGACCATGACCATGGTGTAACCATAATCATGGTGCAGCTGCAACCGTGGTGTGATCACGCCTATGGTGTAACCACAACCGTGGTGTGACCACGACCATGGTGTAACCAGAACCATGGTGTAACCACGACTGTAGTATAACCATGACCATGGTGTGACTGTGACCATGGTGTAACCACGACCATAGTGTAATCATGACCATGGTGTGACCACAACCATGGTATAACCATGACCATGATGTGACCATGACCATGGTGTTACCACAACTATGGTGTTACCCCAACCATAGTGTAACCATGACTGTGGTGTAACCACGACCATGATATAGCCACAACCATGGTGTGACCACCACCATCGTATGACCACAACCATGGTGTGACCGTGACCATGGTGTGACCATGACTATCGTGCGACCACAAGCATGGTGTAAGCACAACCACTGTGTGCCCACAACCATGGTGTAACCACAACCATAGTGTAACCATGACTATGGTGTAACCACGAGCATGGCGTGACCACGACCATGGCGTGACCATGACGATGGTGTAACCATGACCATAGTGTAACCATAACCATGGTGTGACCACGACCATCGTGCGACCACAAGCATGGTGTAAGCACAACCACTGTGTGCCCACAACCATGATGTAACCATGACCATAACCATGATGTAACCATAACCATGGCGTAACCACAACCACGCTGTGCCCACACCCACCAGAACCACCCCACTGCTATTCCCAATGGCATCACCCCCAACCCCTCCATTGCTCCCCCTGCAGAGAACCACGTACGTGTGGCGGGAGCCGCGGCTGTGCCGGGGCGGTCGGAGCCTGCCCCCACCAACGGTGCGGCCGTGCCGGAGCGCCGATTTCTGGCTCAAGGTGGGGATCTCCGCGGGCACCGGCGCCGCCGCGCTCTTGGCCGCCCTCGCCGCCTACTTCTGGAAGAAGAACCAAAAGTGAGCGGTGCCCATGGGATGGGGCAGGGTTGGGGGGGGGGGAATGGGGATCACCATGAACCGGGTGCCGGCCCCCGGTGCACCCATAGGTTGGAGTACAAGTACTCGAGGCTGGTGATGAACGCGGCGGCCAAGGAGAGCGAGCTGCCGGCGCCGGACACGTGCGCCATCATGGAGGGGGAGGACGCGGAGGACGATCTGCTTTTTGCCACCAAAAAGTCCCTTTTTGGCAAAATCAAGTCCTTCACCTCTAAGGTAAAGGGGGGGGGGGGGCGCGTGGCACAGCCTCACCCGGTGCCGCGCTCCCACCGCGGTGCTGCTGATGCCCATCCCCGCAGAGGCTGCCGGACGGCTTCGACTCGGTGCCGCTGAAGACATCGTCCGGTGGCAGCGCCATGGAGCTGTGATGGGCGCGGGGGTCCCCATCCCAGTGTCCCACTCTGCCCCCCCCCCCCCCCCCCCCCCCCCCCCCAAACCGTGGCCTTAGGGACCTGCTCCCGTCCGTGCGTCCCCCCTCGGCAAGCACCAAACGGTGCCAAATAAACACAGGCGTGGGCTTTGTAGGATGGCTCCGGGTGCTCTGTGGGCACCGGGACATGGAGGGGGACGGGGATGGGACTGGGATCCGGTGCAGGCAGCACCAGGGTGCTGGTGGAGGGGAATGATGGGGGCCATGGGGTGCTATGGTGGTGCTATGGTGATGCTGTGGTGATGCTACGGGGTGCTATGGGGTGCTATGGGGGTGCTATGGTGGTGCTATGGGGTGCTGTGGTGGTGCTATGGGGTGCTATGGTGATGCTATGGTGGTGCTATTGTGGTGCTATGGTGATGCCATGGCGTGCCATGGGGTGCTATGGTGGTGCCATGACGTACTATGGTGGTGCTATGGTGGTGCTATGGGGTGCTGAGGGGTGCCATGGAGTGCTATGGTGGTGCTATGGGGTGCTGTGGTAATGGCATGGGGTGCTGACGGGTGCCATGGGGTGCCATAGTTTGTTATGGTGGTGCTATGGCGTGCCATGCGGTTCCATGGGGCTCCATTGAGTGCAATCACTGCTATCACTGTAGGTGATGTAGGGTGACATAAGGATCCATGCTTTGCTATGGGGCTCTATAGGGTGCTATGGAGCTCCATGGGGTGCTATGGGGCTCTATGTAATGCTATGGGGCTCTATGGGATGCTATGGGGCTCTATGGGATGCTATGGGGCTCTATAGGGTGCTATGGAGCTCCATGGGGTGCTATGGGGCTCTATGGGATGCTATGGGGCTCTATGGGATGCTATGGGGCTGTATAGGGTGCTATGGAGCTCCATGGGGTGCTATGGGGCTCTATGGGATGCCGCTCTTATCCCCCAGGCGCCCCGCGGGTGCTCCCGCGCCGTGCTCCGCCGCTCCGCCAGGGGGCGCGCCAAGCCCCGCCCACTCTCTCTCCCTCCGCCCACCTCAGCCCCGCCTCCTGCGTCAGCGCGCACGTTGCGCGGGGGGCGCAGGCGCAGCGCGGGGGTTGCGCGGGGTGCGGGAGCCGCCATCATGGTGCTGGACCTGGACCTGTTCCGCGCGGACAAGGGCGGGGACCCGGCCCTGGTGCGGGACTCGCAGCGGCGCCGCTTCAAGGACCCCGCGCTCGTGGACGCGCTCCTGCGCGCGGACGGCGCCTGGCGCAGCTGTGCGTGATGGGGGAGGGGCGGTCCCGGGGGTTGGGGGGGGGTGAGGTTCCCATGGGGGATCCCGCATCCCCGCATCCCCATTGCATGTGGAGCCGCTGCGGGATCCGGTCCCACCGGGATCCGGTCCTACAGGGATCCGGTCCTACCGGGATCCATTCCCACTGGGATCCGGTCCCACAGGGATCCGGTCCTACCGGGCTGATGCAATCCCGGTGCGGGATCGTGCCCGGTGATGCTGCAGAGGGCGGGGGGGGGTCACCGCATCACCGGGGTTAGGGGAGTCTTAGGGGGAGCGACTGCGGTTCCTGGTCCCCTCCTTGAGCACCCGGACCCCATGGATGCACCCAAACCCCATAGATGCACCCAGACCCCGTGTGTGCACCCAGACCCAATGGGTGTACCCAAACCCCATAGGTGTACCCAAACTCCATGGATGCACCCAAACCCCATAGATGCACCCAGACCCCTTGTGTGCACCCAGACCAAATGGGTGTACCCAGACCCCATAGATGCACCCAGACCCAATGGGTGTACCCAGACCCCATAGATGCACCCAGACCCAATGGGTGTACCCAGACCCCATAGATGCACCCAGACCCAATGGGTGTACCCAGACCCCATAGATGCACCCAGACCCCATAGATGCACCCAGACCCAATGGGTGTACCCAGACCCCATAGATGCACCCAGACCCAATGGGTGTACCCAGACCCCATAGATGCACCCAGACCCCATGGATGCACCCAGACCCCATGGATGCACCCAAACCCCATAGATGCACTCAGACCCCATGGATGCACCCAGACCCCATAGATGCACCCAGACCCCATGGATGCACCCAGACCCCATGTGTGCACCCAGACCCCATAGATGCACCCAGACTCCATAGATGTACCCAAACCCCATAGATGCACCAAGACCCAGACCCCATGGATGTACCCAGACGCCATGTGTGCACCCAAACCCCATAGATGCACCCAGACCCCATGTGTGCACCCAAACCCCATAGATGCACCCAGACCCCATGTGTGCACCCAGACCCCATAGATGCACCCAGACTCCATAGATGTACCCATACCCCATAGATGCACTCAGACCCCATGGATGCACCCAGACCCCATGGATGCACAACCCACACCAGACCCCATGGATGCACCCAAACCCCATAGATGCACTCAGACCCCATGGATGCACCCAGACCCCATGGATGCACCCAGACCCCATGGATGCACCCAAACCCCATAGATGCACTCAGACCCCATGGATGCACCCAGACCCCATGGATGCACCCAGACCCCATGGATGCACCCAAACCCCATAGATGCACTCAGACCCCATGGATGCACCCATACCCCATAGATGCACCCAGACCCCATGGATGCACCCAGACCCCATGTGTGCACCCAGACCCCATAGATGCACCCAGACTCCATAGATGTACCCAAACCCCATAGATGCACCAAGACCCAGACCCCATGGATGTACCCAGACGCCATGTGTGCACCCAAACCCCATAGATGCACCCAGACCCCATGTGTGCACCCAGACCCCATAGATGCACCCAGACTCCATAGATGTACCCATACCCCATAGATGCACTCAGACCCCATGGATGCACCCAGACCCCATGGATGCACTCAGACCCCATGGATGCATCCAGACCCCATAGATGCACCCAGACCCCATAGATGCACCCAGACCCCATGGATGCACCCAAACCCCATGGGTGTAGCCAGACCCCATGGATGCACCCAGACCCCATGTGTGCACCCAGACCCCATAGATGCACCCAGACCCCATGGATGCACCCAGACCCCATGTGTGCACCCAGACCCCATGGCTCTGGCTGTGCACAGCAGCCCCAGCCAGGTTGTGGCCCTCAGAGCAGTGCTTTCAAATGAGACCCTTGTGTGACACCCACTGCACCCCAGAGCATCAACCCCTGCCGTCTCCTTCCCACATCCCTGGAGCCGGAGGGGGATCCCAGCCCCATTCCCACTCCGGTGGCTCCTTCCCCTCTTGGTTTGCAGGCCGGTTCCGCGCCGATAACCTCAACAAGCTCAAGAACCTGTGCAGCAAAACCATCGGGGACAAGATGAAGGTGAGGCCGGAGGGGCTGCCCCTGCCCGCGGGCATCCCCGCAGCGATGCTCGGCCCCTTGGAGCTGCATCCTCACCCCCTGCGCTTCCCCTGCAGAGGAAGGAGCCGGTGGGGACGGACGAGTCCGTGCCCGAGGGAGCGCAGAACCTGGAGGAGCTCACGGCCGAGGTGCTGGGGGTGAGTGTGAGACCCCCCCCCTGTTCCCTGCCCCATGGCACCGGGGGGATGCATTGAGCCCCCCTGGCAGCAGCATCCCCATCACATCCCAGTAGGGACCGGTTCCATGCCTGTCCTTAGAGCCCTGTGCTGCTCCAGTGCATCCCCTGCCCCTCTGCGCTTCCCTCCTTCCCTCCCTTCCCAGTGTGGGGCTGCCATGGGAGCTCCGCACCCCATGTTCAGAGCCCTGCTTGGGTCCGTTCCTTGTCCCCTCTGGGTCCCCTTTACTGCACATGGGGTTTGGAGCTAGGATGAGCAGGGATGCGCAGGGATGAGCAGGGATGGGCAGGGATGAGCAGGGATGCGCAGGGATGAGCAGGGATGCGCAGGGATGAGCAGGGATGCGCAGGGATGAGCAGGGATGCGCAGGGATGAGCAGGGATGCGCAGGGATGAGCAGGGATGCGCAGGGATGAGCAGGGATGCGCAGGGATGCGCAGGGATGCGCAGGGATGAGCAGGGATGCGCAGGGATGCGCAGGGATGAGCAGGGATGAGCAGGGATGAGCAGGGATGAGCAGGGATGCGCAGGGATGCGCAGGGATGGGCAGGGATGAGCAGGGATGCACAGGGATGGGCAGGGATGCGCAGGGATGGGCAGGGATGAGCGGGGATGCGCAGGGATGAGCGGGGATGAGCAGGGATGAGCTGGGATGCGCAGGGATGGGCAGGGATGAGCAGGGATGAGCGGGGATGCGCAGGGATGGGCAGGGATGAGCAGGGATGAGCGGGGATGAGCAGGGATGAGCTGGGATGCGCAGGGATGCGCAGGGATGAGCAGGGATGAGCAGGGATGAGCGGGGATGAGCAGGGATGAGCTGGGATGCGCAGGGATGGGCAGGGATGCGCAGGGATGGGCAGGGATGAGCAGGGATGAGCAGGGATGAGCAGGGATGGCAGGGATAGCAGGGATGCGCAGGGATGACGGGGATGCCAAACAACAAACAACAAACAAACAGGATGAGCAGGGATGCGCAGGGATAGCAGGGATGAGCAGGGATGAGCAGGGATGAGCAGGGATGCGCAGGGATGAGCAGGGATGAGCAGGGATGCGCAGGGATAGGATAGGGATGAGCAGGGATGCGGAAGGGGTCGCAGGGATGAGCAGGGATGCGCAGGGATGAGCAGGGATGCGCAGGGATGAGCAGGGATGCGCAGGGATGCGCAGGGATGAGCAGGGATGAGCAGGGATGAGCAGGGATGCGCAGGGATGAGCAGGGATGACAACACACCAAGCAGGGATGAGCTGGGATGAGCAGGGATGCGCAGGGATGAGCAGGGATGAGCAGGGATGAGCAGGGATGCGCAGGGATGAGCAGGGATGAGCAGGGATGAGCAGGGATGCGCAGGGATGCGCAGGGATGAGCAGGGATGAGCAGGGATGGGCAGGGATGAGCAGGGATGAGCGGGGATGAGCAGGGATGAGCTGGGATGCGCAGGGATGGG